ATATATATATATATAAATACATACATACATACATACATACATACATACAAGCTAATTTCATCCAGTGATCTGTTTCATAGAAACCAAATTTTTCTGGCCGGGGATATAGCTCAGTGGCACAAGCGCCTGCCTGGCAAGTGGCAGGGCCTGAGTTTGATTCCTGGGACCAAAAAAGAAAGAAAATAGGAATGATTATCTGAAATCAGCCTATAAAGCACTTTATAAACTATGCTAAAGAAAGTGTTCTTTATTCAGCATGACGTGCAGATATTACAGCATTTAAGCACTGAAGAAATTAGGGCTGAAAGTATAAGCACATAAGTCATTGAAACCATTGGTGTTAATATATGCTCAGTGAGGAAGCATCTGTAGTGTGAAAAAAGAATCAGTGACACTTCCTGGGCCTGCTCTTTTATAAGGAGCTGCTGGAGTGTGAGCTAGTCAGTTATCTATGAAGCCATTGTGAGTTAGGTGTCATTAGTAGGCTCAGATAGGACACATACCAGGGAAGTTATGGAGTGGAGAAAAGCTTTCATATTTGCTTTTGAGACAAAGTCTCGCTATATAGCCTAGGCTGGCTTCAACTCACAGTGATCTTCCTGCCCTGACCTCTTGAGTGCTAGGGGATTACAGGCTTTCGTGTTTGCCAGTGAGAAAATGCTTGGTTTTTTTTATGCAAGGCTTGCACACTAAGCCAGGTTTAAAGGGTAAAAGAACAGCAATCTACATTGTTCCTTGAAAAATCTTGACTTCAGTGGAAAGTAAAGAAGTAGCTGAAGAGAGAACATTAGAATATCTTTTTTGGGTTTTGTTTTTGTTTTTGTTTTGTTTTGTTTTGAGACTCAATATGTAGTGAAGGCTTGCCTTGAACTCACAGCAGTCCCTCTGCCTTAGACTTCTGAGTGCTGGGAGTGTAGGCATATGCTACCACACCCAGCTATAGGGCCATTTGGAATGTTTGTAGGAAGCAGGCAACATAGTGCAGACAAAGCTGTGCATGGTGGTATATACCTGTAATCCTAGCATTCTCAGAAGCTGAGGCAGTGGGATTGCAAGATGAAGCCCAGCCTGGGGACTTTGAGACTTACAGGCACTGTGTCTCAGAATAAAACATAAGGGAACTGCAAATGTAGCTCAGGTATGAATGTCCTGGGTTTCATCCTTAGTACGTTAAGAGGGAGTGAGGGGAATGAGGAGAGAGAGGAAAACCAGTGTAGAGAAATTAATTTCTACACCATGGGAAGAAATAATGATGGAGCACAGGGAGACAGGAGAAGATAATCCTTAAGAGATTAAAGAATACCAAAATGTGAATGTGCCATGGAATTATAAAGTTTAAGAGGAGACAAAGTTTTTTTTTCTTGCCCTGGGGAGACTGATGGGAAAGGTAGTTGTTGTTTCTAGCTTGAAAGTAGAGTGTAGCTTCAGAGTACTGATAAAACAGTTGGAAACACATAATAATAATCTTTCGCCAGTGTATAGTGAGCTGCAGTCCATTCAGTGAGGGCAGTTACTTTATTTTCTTGTAGCCACGTTCAGGAGTAAAGGAGCAAAAACTGGAAGATGGTATTTATGGGGTTTTTTTCCTTCTGCACAGTTGGACTTTTGATCATTATTAGAAATAGTGTTATCTAGGGCCTGGGAGGTAGTTCAGCGGCACAGTGCCTGCCTGGCATGTGTGAGGCCAAGAGTTGGATTCCTGGTACAAAAAAAAGCTCCTGTCTTACCCTATAAGTAAAATTCAGAAAACATGCCTACTAGATAATGTGCATGTTTCCATTATTCTTATCTTAAAAACTTTTTTGTCTTTCCTGTCAATAATTCATATTTGTTTGTCTTACTGTCTTTATCATGATGCAGTGTCTTGGGACAGATTCATCCACAGTTATTTAGCTTTAAAATTTCATACAAATGAAATGAAACAATACATTGTCATTTGTGTTTGACTTAACATTATAATGCTTTTAGGACTTATCCATGTTGATTGTTTTATCAGTAGTTCATTCTCTTCCTTAAAAATAGCTCTTTGAGCCAGGCTTGGTGGCACACAGCTATAAAACCAGCTGCTCTGGAGGCTGAGCCAGGAGGATTGCAAGTTTGAGGCAATTTAATTACAAGGCCCCCTCTCAAAAGCTAAATAAAAGGGTTAGGAATGTAGTTCTATCGTAGAGTGCCTCGCTAGAATGTGCAAGATCCTGGGTTCAATCCCTAATTTTAAAAAGTGAGGTTTTATTGAGGTTTTACTGATAGATGATAAATTGCATGTATTTAAAGCACATGGTTTGATAAGTTGTGATGTACATATATACATGTGCCTGGAAAAACAACTCAGTATAATTATTTTGATACTTAACAATTGGTTGTTCATATTAATAGTTCACTCCATTTTTGTTGCTGCATAGTATTTGATAGTGTGTGTTTACCGTACATTATTGATCTGTTCATCTATGTATGGACACATGGCCTGCTTCCAGTTTTGGCTTTTATAAACAAAGCTGCCATGCACATTCAAGCCTGTATAGACTTTATAGATTGTATTTTCTTTTCTCTTGGATAAATATCTAAAAGCAGAGTGGCTGAATGATATGTTAGTGGTAGTTTTACCATTCTAACAAGGTGCCACATTACTTTCTAAAGGGTTGCAGTATTTTATGTTCTCAGGAGAACATTGGCACAATTCTCCCACATTTCTTGTTGTTTGTCTGAGACCACATCTCACTGTGCAGTTTAGCCTGGTCTTGAACTCATAGCTGGGATGACAATAGGATACCATGCCTAGTTCCAAATTGTATTTTTAATAAAAACCCCTGCTTTATTTATTTTTTATTTTATTTTATTTTTTTTTTTTTGGTTTTTCTCTGGTACCGGGAACCGAACTCACGACCTTGCGCTTGCCAGGCAAGCACTTTTTGCCGCTGAGCTAAATCCCCAGCCCCAAACCCCTGCTTTATATTGTTTTATATGTCTTTAAAGTTTCATTTGACAGTAATGTTTCTCATTCTGTGTTTTTATGGCATATATTCATTAGAACAGTAGTTATTTGTTATATTTGCTTGATTATATCCTTCAGGTTCCTTTTAACTTTTCTTTATCTTACATATTTCTTACAAACCTGTAATTGAATTTAGAGGCTGGATTAGATTCAGGTTCAGTTTTTTCTTTTGATAAGAATGCTTTGCAGACAGTGTGTGTGTGTCTTGTTGTATCATGCTAATAAGTTTATATTATCAATTTTGTCCACTTATAGTGATACCAAGATTGTTCATTGGGCTGGACATGGTGTTGAATGCCTGTAATCTCATCTACTTAGGAGACTGAGGCAGGAAGATTGTGAGGTTATGGCTAGCCTGGGCAAGTTAACCAGATGTTATCCTAAAGTAAAAAGAGACAGGCTGAGAATGTCCGCTCGGTGCTCCCTAGCTTCAGTCCCCAGTAGCTTGCTCACTCGCTTGCTCTCTTTCGCTCTCTCTCTCATTCTCTCTCTTTCTCTGTCACACACACATACACCCACACATACCATAAACACATAGAAGTTATCCATTAAATGTAGATGTCACCAACCTAGTGAATCTGTTATAAAGTTCCTCAGTATCTTTTCATAAGTAGTTTAAGCACTGGGGTAGATTCTTGAATTAGTGTTAATTTGTTGTTTTTTCCCTGTCTAGGAATCCATACCTGTTTTGTATGTAAACAGAGTGGGGAAGATGTTAAAAGGTGCCTTCTACCCTTGTGTGGAAAGTTTTACCATGAAGATTGTGTCCAGAAGTACCCACCAACTGTCATGCAGAACAAGGGCTTCCGGTGCTCCCTCCACATCTGTATTACCTGTCATGCTGCTAATCCAGCCAGTGTTTCAGCATCTAAAGGTATAGGTTTTTAATGTGGACCAGTCTAAATGTAGGACGTCATTCTCATGGACAGCAGATATTTTCAAATGCAATCTGGAATGTCTCTTATGTGTGCTATCTAGTTTGTTAGTTACGTAGCTTGGCAGCATAAGGAGAATAAAGTAGAGTAATGGGTTAATTTCATAGTTAACACTTTGTGTTCCATGGAACCTTGGCATTATGTGGTAGGGGTTTTTTTTGTCTTTTTGAGATAGGGTTTCACTATACACTTTAGGCTGATCTTGAACTCACTTTGTAGCTGAGGCTGGTCTCCAACTCAGAAATTCTCCTGCCTCAGCCTCCTGAGTGCTAGGATTACAGGCATGAGCCACTACACCAGGCTTTATATTGTAGTTTTAAATATTTGGATTTTATGTGAGAATATGTTTGAAAAGTATTTTATTGCATTCACTGTAGTTGTACAATCCCCTTTTTAACTGTTGTTAGTCTATTTATTGCATTTAGCAGGTTGGTAATGGTTTTTACCTGGTGAAGTATGTTAGGGAGTATATTTTGTGTGAAAGAAGTAGAGAGGTTCGTTTGTCTAAAAGATAAAGATTCAGGCTGGGTGTGCACTACAGGGTGCACCCCTGTAATCCCAGCACTCGGGAGGCTAAAGCAGGAGAAAGGATCTGTGCAAGTTCAAGACCAGCCTGGGCTATAAAGTGAACTCAAGGCCAGACTGAACTGCACAGCAAGACCCTGTCTCAGAGATAAAGGAAAACAAAAAAGATTCACAGAGAACTCAGTTTCATGCACACCTATTAGCCTAGCTCTTAGGAGGCCAAGACAGGAGGATCACAAGTTTGGAGCCACCCCGGGAAACTTGGCAAGACCCATCTCACAAAGGGCTGGGGATATAGATCAGAGAGCCCCATGGATTCAGGAAGAGGAGATAGTATTGGGTTTGGGGATATCACAAAGTACCATGCAAACATTAGTATCACATCCCTCTACTCACATCATTTATTTTGAGACTGCAGGTTTCTTAGGAGAGTCAGGTAGTGATTTTGAGTCTTTTTTTTTTTTTTTTTTATTAAGTTAGTTTATCTACAATTATGGGAACTGACTCCATTTTTGGAAACTTAGGCATAGCCTCCACCTTAGCTTTTATTGTAAATTACATACTTAAGATCCATTTGTTTTTTTTTTTGTTTTTGTTTTTCTTCCAGTACCAGGAATAGAACCCACGACCTTGCGCTTGCCAGGCCGGCACTGTGCCACTGAGCTAAATCCCCAGCCCCTTAAGATCCATTGTTTTAAAGACCTTTGTGGTAGTACACACATGTAATCATGCACTTGGGGGGGTGAGCTAGGAGGATTAAGAGTTTGAGGCTGGCCTTAACTACTTACTGAAATCTTGTCTCCCAACCAAAAAATAAAATTAAAAACATTTTCTTAATGCTAGCAAATATAGTTTGAATAATTCACATTATTCTTACATTTAATCTTTTTTATTTTTCTCTTCCCTTATATTTAGGTCGTCTGATGCGCTGTGTCCGTTGTCCTGTGGCATACCATGCAAATGACTTTTGTTTAGCTGCAGGGTCAAAGATCCTTGCATCGAATAGTATCATCTGTCCTAATCACTTTACCCCTAGGCGGGGCTGCCGAAATCATGAGCATGTCAATGTCAGCTGGTGTTTTGTGTGCTCAGAAGGTAAGGCATGACTTCCTGCTGTATGAGTGTTGTACAAGGGATTAATACTTGGTTTTAATACTGTCCATCTCCTCCTCCATTCCCACCACACAGCTTCCTGCTGACCTAATGTCCACCTACCAGTTATCCTGTTGATTTCTTGCCTCATATTCTAACTTACATCCTATAGTATCCTTTCCTGCAAAACTGATATACTAGCCACCATTTTCTCATCTCTAACAGCTGGCCTTTATTAACCAGTTTTTCTTCTGTCCCTCATTTTTTCATGTTAATTTCCTTATTTGAAAACTGAAATCAGCTTCCATTTTATACATCAAACATTTCTGATATTTCATGGATGCCAACTCAGTAAAAGGATCATATAAACACTGCACTATCAACCAAATTGTTATCCTACAGGTAACTAAGCAAGAGAGGAGTGCTGTAGAAGGTTTTCTGCCATTGCCTGAGTTGAATTTATGTGACTCTGTGTCACTTTTAATGTCCTGTGCTAAGATAAACTCATGCACAAAAGTAGCTAGGTGTCCATTTCAGAATGTGTACTTGTGTTTCAGATGTATTTGGCAGCAGACTTTTTTGTCCCAATGAAGTCTAACTCTGAATACGAGCTCCAGTATGCAGTATAGATAGAATGGTACCTTCTCTATTTTAAGGATATGATCCTGATTATTTGAGTAGATAAAAAAAAGTAACGTGGGAAGGAAAGTTTGACAGAAATAAGTTTTTAGTAAGACTTTCTATCTATCTATCTATCTATCTATCATCTATCATCTATCATCTATCATCTATCATCTATCCATCCGTCTTTTTAAGGTGGGGTCTCTCTATGCAGTTCAGGCTGGCCTTGAGCTCACTTTGTAGCCCAGGCTGGTCTCGAGCTTGAAACCATCTTCCTGCCTCAGCCTTCCAAATGCTGGGATTACAGGCATGCATCACCACACCTGGCTTTAGTAAGATTTTAAAAAGTAAAGGAGGCACAGTGAGAACAAGATGAACTTGTTGTATACCTTTTTAATATTTTACTCTTCAGGGTAAAAGGTAAATATGGCAAACGTTGTATTCCCTAAATACAAATCTTGGCTGGGCTGAATAGAGTCTTGCTTCACATGCCTTAAGCTCTGTTCAATTCCCTGAATGTTGTATGTAGGGGTTGAAATGTTATTGTCCTTACCTGCGATACTATATTATCTTCAAGAATGAACTTTTCAGCATCAGTAAGTAGATTAGACATCACATTTGAGCAGACAATTTTTTAAGACATGAAAATTGTCACTGGTGTGTGTGTGTGTGAATAAAAAATCATTATGGTGTTTAAAAACTTAGAATGAAAGGGGGGGACAATCAAACTGAAATTTAGTCAACAAACCATAATATAGTAATGGCCATGATTTTTTGTCACTAATGAAAGTCACAGATGTTATAGTTGTTGAAGATATCTTGACATACCAATTACAGTCAGAATTTATAGGTTTATAGGTACCATTCTGAAAAGTGCTATAAAAGCCTACTTTGCTTGGAGTTTTAAATACATAGATGAATGTCTCTCACCATGTGCTTATATACATTTTTATCTTTTTAGCAACACACGGAAATGTTTAACTATCTTGCTAAAACTGTAAAGTTGTAAAAAGTTAGTAACTTAAAATAGAGGGATCCATCTAACAATATGGAAGTATTACTTATGTGCCAGACAGTACTAGGTGATTTGTTAGCTGATGAGGTTCTCAAACAGATATGGTTATTACTATTCATTAAAATAAATAACCTTACCATTGAGGCATTTATAACTTAGTAAGGAGAGTGAATTTCCCAAGGTCATTTGGTTAAAGAGTTACAATTCTAGCTTCAATCTGGCATCATTAAAACTTGTGCTCTTGGGCTGGGGATCTAGCTCAGTGATAGAGTGCTTGCCTACCATGCTGCACAGGCCTTAAATTTAAACCCTAGTACCACAAAAACAAGAAAAACTTGTGCTCTTCTTATTACGGTCATTGAGTGTCGTTGGTATTCTCTTTATTGTTGTTTTTTTTTTTTTAAATAGTCATCTGTGTGTGTACATACACATGATTTTAATAGGTTTGCTTTTTATTTCATTGCTTTCATTTACTTTTCCAAGAATACTTTTTGTGGTACCATCTTAACCAGCTGTGGAGTTAGGGGAGTTCAGGAATAGTAGTAGGAAGGAAATAATTCTTGTAGAAAAGTCTTTCTGGATGATTTATAAAACTACAACACCTTTAGAGAGATGAGTAATTGGTCTGGAGCTGAGCCAGAGTTGGTTCATCTAGGTCTGACCTTGGATCCTTGTTTGTGAATATTGTGTTCTTTGAATCTTCTAGGAGGCAGCCTGCTGTGCTGCGATTCTTGTCCTGCTGCTTTTCATCGTGAATGCCTAAATATTGATATCCCTGAAGGAAACTGGTATTGCAATGACTGTAAGGCAGGCAAAAAGCCACACTACAGGGAAATTGTATGGGTAAAAGTTGGACGATACAGGTGAGTGAACATGAAGACAGTGGCATTTGGCTATCTTTTATCATCCTGTTCCTTGAAGTCTATCAGACACATTGCTTAATTTTCTCTTGCTCCTGTGCTGAGGATTAAACCCGGTGCCTTCATACTGAACTATATCTTCAGCACTCTCCCACACTTTTTTTTGGTGCTAGTAATCGAAGTCAAGATCTTGTGCCTGCCAGGTCGGTGCTGTGCTTGAGCTATATCCCTGTTCCCCTTCCACTTTTATTTTATATATTTACTTATTTTTAATTTGGGGGAGGTTTTCCCAAGGCTGAGCTTGTTGGGAATTACAGGTGTGTACCATGTTGAGCACATTGCTTAACTTTGCAAAAAAGATCTTCCTCATTAGACTTACCCTCTTCCTACCCAATTAATTTTTCCTTGAAAGAAAGAAAAACTATGATTTATCAGTAATATAGGTACTGAGCCAGGTGGTTGCACATGCCTAGAATTCCAGCACTTGGGAGGCTGAGGCAGGAGGAGCGCTGTGAGTTTGAGGCTACATAACTAGTTCAAGGCGAGCCCAGGCTACATAATGAGTTCAAGGCAAACCTGCACTACGAAGTAACATCCTGTCTCAAAACAACAAAGAAGCCGGGAGTGGTGGTACATGCTTGTAATCCCAGCACTCGAGGCTGAGGCAGGAGTATCCTTGCGAGTTCGAGGCCAGGCTGGGCTACAAAGTGAGCTCAAGGCCAGCCTGAACTGCATAGAGAGACCCTGTCTCAAAAAAAAAAAAAAAAAAATTCAGGTATTATAATACAGTAGCAATACATAAATGTACTGAAGCAATAATACATTTATTAGTGGGAAAAAAAACCCATAATCTCACAAACAAGGAAGATACATGAATATTTCAGCCTGTTTACTTGAAGTTATGCCTATCCCCACCAAATAAATGTTCCTATAATTGATTCAGTTTTGCATCATCTTCTTTGGAAAAAAAATTAAAATTTTCACTTTTTTTCTTTTCTCTGAGACAGGGTCTTGCTATGTAGTTCAGGCTGGCATAGATTCACTGTGTAGCCCCAGCTGGCCTCGAGCACAGAGCAGTCCTCCTGCCTCAGTGTCCTGAGTGCTGGGATTGTACACCACCACACTTGGCAAAAAATTATCTTTATTGTACTTAGCATACGCAGAAAACTACAACATGAGTGATTTTAAAGTATTATAAAATGGCATAGTAGAGTGACTGTAGGTTACATCAATTTATTAGATACTTCACAAAGAACTAAAAGGCTTGTGAAGATATCTAGCACAAAGGAAGGATAACTGTTGAAGGAAATGGGAATGCTGATTACCTTAATTTGATTGTTCCATGTTATGTACATGTGTCAAATTATCCCAGTGTATGCCATAGTTATATACATTTATTATGTCAATAAAAATATTTCTTGACAAAAGAACAAAAGGAACTTTTGTGTATATACCTGTTAGTAAATCAAGGAATAGTATTGTACATTTGAGGCTCTTAATTCCCTGTCTGATTCTATTCTTCCTATCCACAGACATATATTTTCTGCTGAATTTTGAGTGTTTCATTCCTTTACCTTGCTGTATCAGCTTAACACATATAAATGTTTTTTCATGCTGTAAACGGTGCTGTTAGGAAATGTTGATGAATTTTCCTGCATTGTTTGTTTGTTTTCTTTTTCATTACATTTATGCCCCTGAGATTCACTGTAGTTAGTATTCCAATTCATGCATAGCTCACAGTTCTGCTATTCTCATTTTGTCAGTATTTCTTGGATTCACAGGGTAGCTTCTGAAGGAATTCTCTGGTGGGAGTTTCCAGCTTTATTTCATTTTCCTAAAATGATTGTAATAATTTGTATGGGTTTTTTTCTTTTTTCCATATTTGATGTCATTTTTCAGTACATCTAATAATTGTATTTAATTCTCTAGGTACAATACCTCCTATTATCATTCCTTTCATGTCAAACATTCACATTTTTCTAGTTTTTCATTCATATTTTTAGTGAACATTCTACTGATAAATGTTTAATTATTTCCTTTAAATGGACTCCTTGAATTAGAATAATGGAATCTACAGGAGTGCATATATTAGCATGAACAGTTATTTGAAGGCTCCAGCTCATACTATTTGTTTATGCTTTAGTTAGCTTGTATGAATGTCCCAATGGGTGAAAAAAGAATGTCTGTAGGTTGGACAGTAATGGGGTAAGACATGGTTTTTGTTTTGTTTTTTAAATAGTACAGTGGATTGAACCTAGGGTCTTTGCATGGAGCTGCATCCCTTGTCTTTTTTATTTTTATTTTGACAAAAGTTCTTGCTAATTACCCAAGACTAGATTTAAATATGTGAGCCTCTTGCCTCAGCTTCCCAGAGTTTAGGGATTATACCAATCCACCACCATGCTTGTCACATTGTTATACTTTATTCCTGTGTTAAAGAGGATATTTTCCCAGTGTATTACAGCATTCTAGAGATTTCTTTCCTTGTTTTCACTTTCCTAGGTGGTGGCCAGCTGAGATCTGCCATCCTCGAGCTATTCCTTCCAACATTGATAAAATGAGACATGATGTAGGCGAGTTCCCTGTTCTCTTCTTTGGATCCAATGACTATCTGTGGACTCACCAGGCTCGAGTCTTTCCTTACATGGAGGGGGATGTGAGCAGCAAGGATAAGATGGGCAAAGGAGTGGATGGAACATATAAAAAAGGTAATTTTATCTAATTTATTTTTCAGGCCAGCATAGACCTATTTTACCCTATCTGCTCTCATTAAAATTCATATAATACTCCTTTTAGCAGCTATGTTCTAACCTCAGGATTGAGGGTGGTAGTGAAGATAAAGGATTTTGTAGGGAAATTGACCCACATAACTAGGTTTTGAACCTAATCTTTTACTTAACTGTAGTTTCCTTGAGGAAGTTTTTTATTTTGTTTTTTTTTTTTTTTTTCCTTATAAGTTCTGTTTTCTTAGCATCACATCAAATAAGGATTTCTAGATCTATTTTATAGAACAAATCACTTTGCTAGGCAGGGCCTCAGTTATAGGAAAGTTGCATTCACTTCATAGTGTTTTTTTGTGTGTATATTTGTTTGTTTGTTTGGTACCGTGAATGGAACTCAGGACCTTGTGCTTGCCAGGCAGGACCTTGTGCTGCTGAGCTATATGCCCGGCCTTGTTTGTTTGGTTTTTTTGAGAGAAGGTCTCACTATGCAGTTCAGGCTGCGGTTAAACTCAGTATGTATCCCAGGTTGGCCTTGAATTCAGTATTTAGCCCAGGCTTGCCTTGAAAACATAGGGATTCTCTTGTCCTGAGTGCTGGGATTATAGGCGTGTGCTGGGATTACCATGCCCAGCTGTAAAGAATATTTACCAAAATTGTAAGAGCAAATAAAATTATAGAGAATTAAATTTTTGTGAACTGAAAACTAAATAAATTTTGTGAACTGGTCTAACGGGGACGTCAGTAAGGACAGATGGGCCTAAGAGCATGGTCCCTTGCTGTCAGCAAAGCTAGTTTTACCCCTTAACCAGGTGGATGAATGAACTTTGGGCGTTGGCACTTTTTAAAAGCATACGATGGGAAAAGGTTGCTCTGAGAGCTCAGTGGCATGCTCAAACCTGCAGAGTATGGTGTTCCTTAAATGGTTAATTTTATTCCTCCAGCTTTGAAAGGTAGTGCATTTCTTGCTATGTAAATATATTTGTGTATTAAAGTTTAAGATTTTTGTCTGCATGGTGAAATAGGAATTTTTAACATGTAAAACTACAGTGAGTTACATCAAGTTTTTAAGTAGGTGAAAGTTCCTTTGAAATGGGAATGATGTCCTTTGGGAACAAGTAAAGCAAAAATTGTATTTTCCTCACATTTCAGTTACTGCAATGGGCCCCAACTTAATCCATTTACCATGTGGTTTCTCTTCAGAGACATGGACTATTCATATTGTTAATGACATAGTAATAGATATTACTAATACATGGACTGTCAGTATTACTAGTACAAGAGCTTAGTTCTTGATTCTTATAATCTCACATATTCAGCAACCACATGATCAAAATCTTGGCCACTATCAAGGCTGGAGGAGAATGTATGAGTTGAAGAATAGCCATGAGTCTGAACCTGTTGAACTTTGCTATTTCAGTACCTAATTCAGGAACTGGCTAATAGCCTGTTGGGAACTTGTTTTTTCTCTAGTACTGGGATGGACCCAGGGATTAACACTTGCTCAAAAAGTGCTCTATCGTCGGGTGTGGGGGCGCACACCTGTAATCTCAGCACTCAGGAGGCTGAGGCAGAGGGATCCTTGCGAGTTTGAGACCAGCCTGGGCTACAAAGTGAGCTCAAGGCCAGCCTGAACTGCATAGCAAGACCTTGTCTCAAAAAACAAAACAAAACAAAAAAAATGCTCTATCACTGAGCTACGCACCTTACCCTTTTTATCTCTCTCTGTTTGTTTTTTTTTTTTAAGACAGAGTCTTGCTACATAGTTTAGGCAGTCTTTAAATTGACTGTGTAACCCAGTCTGGCCTCAAATTTGTGACAGTTCTCCTTCACTCTCTCAAGTGTTAGGATTACGTGTATGTGCCACCATATTTGGATTAGAGAAAAGTTTCTAACTCGGGTAGGTGAAGTCCAGAATCCATATTCTTGATTCTCTACAGTGAAGAAGGGGACATCCTTAAATGTATCTAGAAAACTCAAGTTCGCTCTAACATTCTGAGTTAGCAGCTAACTAGTATTTGGTATAGTTTAAACACAGGGACAAGGGAACACTGGGCTGGCTGCCTGAAAGAAGAGAGGTAAGTTACATGATTAGAATAGAGCTTAGAAACCTTGGTCTGTCTTAAGAGTGTCTAGAGTATTAGAGAATAAGAGGCTGCATCTGAGATTAGTGAAATAGCTGAAGATGAGATTGTAACCAAATTGTCATGTTGTAGAGAAGATGATAGACACTGGGTGGGCATGAAGAGAGAGGATATGCTGAAGAATAGCATGACAGCAGGATGAATTTTTGGACAATTTAGCAGATTATATGAACAGACATAGTTTGGTAAATAATGACAATCAACAGGAGATGAGTAGGGCAGAGTCCTTAAGAAAATTGACAGAGCATGGGGAAAGCTACCAAAATGAACGAGAAAAGGAAGAACTGGAATTTTGAACCTGGATAAAGAATAATGAATTAACATTTTGTCTCACGTAGAGAACAAAGTGAATCTTACTGTATTTTGTTGGGTTTTTTCCTATACTACTACAATATTTTAAGGATATGAAAGCACAGCATTTGACTGTAAACTAGATATGAAGATCTATATATAATTAGAGCCTGTGGTGAATATTTTATATATATATTTTTCGGTTTTTTGGTTTTTTTCCCAGTACCGGGAATCAAACTCACGACCTCGCTCTTGCCAGGCAGGTGCTGTGCCACTGAGCTAAACCCCAGCCCTGTGGTGCATATTTTAAAGAATGAGTATTAGAAGAGTAGGACAGGTACTGTAGATAATATGCAAGGGGCGATAACTTTGAATGCCTTCCAAAGGATAGCAAGAATGCCATCTAGGCCATTTGGGAGTAAAAGTGTTTTTGGAAACAGGAGGTTGAACCCTGAGTAAAGAATTAGGCTTAAGAAGCCAGGCATGCTGATGCACACCTGTAATCCCAGCACTTGGGCTGAGGTAGGAGGATTACAGGGAATTTGAGGCCAACCTTGGCTACATAGTGAGTTGAAGGCCAACCTGTATGGACTACAAAGAGAGACCCCATCTCAAAAAAACAAAAAACAAAAATGAATTTAGCTTAAGCACAATGACTTTGCTAAACAGATGAAGTCTGTTTTGTTTGTATTTGCTGTGTCAAGGATCAGCATGAGGGTTTTACATATGCTAGGCAAGCACTTCCAGTGGGTTCACCCTAGCTCCTGAAATCTGTTCAGAGATGGTACCTATGATTCTTTTCATGTCATTGACCTATATCCTGCCCCGCAACCCAGTGAAAGTGATAATCTGTAGTGTGCCATTTCCAAGCTGTCTGAATACCCTGGGGACTTTCTACATCTGTCATTTTTTATCTGAAATAATAGATTTTTTTCTAATGTAATGGGGCAAAACAAAATAATTCTATCTAGAGATTTTTAAGTAACTTGTGCCTTGTGTTTTCTTAGCTCTTCAGGAAGCAGCAGCAAGATTTGAGGAGTTAAAGGCACAAAAAGAGCTAAGACAGCTGCAGGAAGATAGAAAAAATGACAAGAAGCCACCACCTTATAAACATATAAAGGTGAGAAAAATTCTTGAGACACTGTCTCTGGGAGGGACACTGTAGAGCTTTCACTTCTCCCTATTCTGCTCAGAATTGGAAGCACAAGCACAGGTGCTCTGAGGCAGTGGTAGGACCTTAAAAGAAGGGGAATAAAAGTACTAGAATATCATTTCTAACACAGTGCATGCACTTCAGAAAGTTAGCTATGCATTGAAACATCATTTTTCCTACTACCTTGAAAAATTCTCTCATGTAAAAAGGTTAGGTACTAGTCATAGTAAACATTTTCATATTGAATGACACCAAGAGGAAAGGCTGTGTTGAAAAATGAGAAATGGTTCTGAATGTGAATTATATACGTGATAAGTCTGTTTGGTAATGGTTGATGCCAAATATATTTCAGGTGACTAGTATGATTAGGAATTTCAAGGTCAGAAAAATTAATATTGGGTGTTCCTAACCCTCAGTTGGCTTGATGAAATAGTCACTGTGTCAACTGGGTCCAAAGGACCTTTTGTATTTTTGAGTCATTTATATAAATAATTAAAAGAAGCAAAAATAATAGTTAAGAACAGATTCAGAAATTTCAGTACTTAAAAAACTTTTTATAAACCACTCGCTTCTTCTTTTTTTTCTTTTTTTGAGATAGCCTTGCTTTGTAGTGCAGGGTAGCCTTGAACTCATGGCTGGTGATGATTTTCCTGCCTCAGCCTCCTGAGTGCTGAGATAACAGACATACACTACTATACCTGGCCTGCAAACCCCTTTTTAGTCAGATAAGTTGGGTTTGAACCTCTAGCATCATAAGACATGAAAGAATACTTTTAACTCTATTAACAAATTTAGGTTTCCTTTTATCATTCGTAGGTGAGAACCATATTTCTTTTTTTGTCCATAGAAGTGCATTGATTTCCGGGGCCCTGGGGGCAGCTGCATTTTTTTGTTCATGTGCCTACTTCTTTTAAGCATCATAAGTCTGATCTTGTCATGTTTTACTTGTGTATCAGTTTCAGCATGTCTCAGTATTGCATGGGACATAACTTTGAAGAAGCATTTTTTTTGTTTGTCTAAAATCAAATTTAATTTGAGTGTCCTTGAGACCCTGTCTCAAAAACAAAACAGGGTTTTTGCTGAATCTAGTAACCTTATTAATAGAAGGCTATGATGATGGTATCACCAGTCCTTTATAGTTGTTTCAAAGATGGAGCAATACCTTGGGTAATGCAGTAAGAAAACTTTATTGTAACTTTTTAGTTCACTGTTTCAACATTCTTTATTCCTCTATTTTTCTTACCATTTTAGGCTTTTTAAAAAATGTACAAAGTTTGGAATCATTAATATGGAGTGGTGATGAAATAGTAAAATGTTAAAAGATACATAAAAAGACAGTACCATAGATTTATAAAAAGGTATAATTGACATAGGCATAGGTGGTGATTATAATATAAAATGAGTTGTGCTCTTTTTAAATAAGGAAACCTTCCTTATTTCACTTCCTTTCTTTTCTTTTTTCTTCTCTCTCTCTTTCTCTCTCTCTCTTTCTCTTTCTCTCTTTCTCTCTCTCTTTCTCTCTCTCTTTCTCTCTCTCTTTCTCTCTCTCTTTCTCTCTCTCTCTCACACACACACTCTCTCATTTTCTTTGTTTTTTGGTACTGAAAATCAAACTCAGGACCTTGTGCTTGCCAGATAGGTACTATGCCTCTGAGCTACATCTCTGCCCTCTTTTTTTTTTTTTTTTTTTTTTGTCTGTCTGTCTGTCTTTCTTTCTTTCTGATTTTTGTTTGTTTGTTTTGTTTTGTTTTGTTTTGTTTTTGAGACAGGGTCTCACTATCTACTCCAGGCTAGCCTTGAACTGACTGTATAGCCCAGGCTGGCCTCAAACTCAGCAGTCCTCCTACCTCAGCCTCCCAAGTGCTGGGATTACAGGCGTGCACCACCACACATGGTTCTCTTTGCTCTTTAAGAAGGAATAAATAGCATAAAATACTAATCCTTACAAAGAATTGAAACTGGTTAAAGAAATTCATAACTATATATTGGGTCTATATAGACCCAGGCAACACAGAGAGTTAAATGTAGTTACATGTGAAGACATAACACCGAAATGTACGTAGGCTTTGAAGTAATATAAGTAGCTGGTCATGGTTGTTCACACCTGTAATCCCAGCACTTGGAAGGCTGAGTCAAGAAGATTGCCAGGAGTTGGAGGCCAGTCTGGGCTACAGAGCCAGAGCTTGTCTGAAAAGAAAAAGAAAGAAAAGTGTCCTGTTTATGTAAGCCCTGATGTCAGGAATAGCAGGATAGGTATTTCAGAGTAGCACATCAACAACGTTGAGCCTAGGTAATGAGGAAGCAACTGTCTGTGAGTAATCTCATCTCAGGATTTACATGCCAACTCCTACTGTATCCCTTTTTTCCATTACCCCTGTACTAAGTGTTGATCCTAGGTAGGCAGGCACTCTAAATGAGCTATATCTCCAGCCCCTTTGTATTTTGAGACAAGGTATCTCCAGATTCCCAACGCTGGCCTTGAACTTCTGATACTGTTACTTCCTTTACCCTCCTGCGTATCTAGGATTGTCTGTGTCACATTCCCAGCTTCTACTTTTTTCTACAACATATTTCCAGAAAAAGATCTATAAATCAGGGGTTGACAAACTCCTGCATTGACCATATCCAATCATCTGCCTGTTTATTATTTAGGCCTGTGAGCTAATGATGGGTTTTTATATTTTCTTAAAATTAAAAATTTTTTTAATGTGGGGCAGTACAGAGCCTTAACACTTGGGTATATATGTCCAACCATTTTATTTTATTTTACTTTATTTTAATTTCAGGTTGGCTTTTGCTAAGTTGTCTAATCTGGCATTGAATTTGTGGTCCTCCTGCCTCAGCATTCTGAGTTATAGTTCTGAAATATTGTAACCACTTAACAGTTTACCTCAAATGTCACTTGCACAGTGCATTTGTTTACTTTCTGACTATTCAAAGCATTGTCTGGGTGTCATTATAGCTAGTGGATTCTTGTGTTGAGCAAATTTGGATTCTTTTATTGAACAAAATTGCTGTTTTTGTACTTCCTGTAACATTACACAAATTAACAAAAAAAATCTTACTTTTGGTCATCCTGTATTTAAATAATTGGACTGGTAATAATTGGTTGGGAGGAAAGAATATCTCATGACATGAAGATTATGTACAACTTCTAATGTCTATAAGTAATGTTCAATTAGAACACAGTCATTCTACTTCATCTATACATTTTCTCCGGCTACTTTCATACTACAGTGGCAGAATTATGTTACATGTGTCAGAGATCTATGGCCTGCTTGCAAAGCCTGCAGTTTAACTGTTTGGCCCTTTATAGAAAAAGCTTGCCAACTCCTGATCTTGAGTATGTTCACCCCAAACTATATGTTTATTTTGGTTGTGGTAACCAGCATTTAGAAATGACCAGCACACCCACTGGGCACGCCTCCCTCTCTCAAACTGTGGGACCGAGAAAAGTCCCACAGTCTTGAACAGTCTTACCACAGGAGGGGTTCTCTGCTCTTACCTGAGTAGATTCCCCACACCCCTTTTGCCTCACCCCAGCGCTCCATGCCTTCCTCTCCTGCTTTTCCGAGGACACACCTTGGTTGTGTCAGCATCCAAACACCACCACCTTTCTGGTGCCACTTGCCCCCATGACCCTCTTCCCAAGGCCTGGGAACCCAGCACAGAGCCCACCCTTAGCACCACAGAGTGACACCCCTGCTCACTAGTTCTGTTCTTAGCCCAGATGCATCTTGGGTTAGAGCCCACTGCTGTGCACACATCCGCTCACTGGCAGCCCTGTCAGCTTTTCTCCCTTGGCCACAGGTCTTGCCAGAAAGCAAACAGCTCAAATGGTACTGATAGGGTACAGCTTAGTCTGCCACTGCTGCCTCCCTGCTTTTCCTTCTCCCCCTCTTCCCACTCCTTCCCACCATATTACCAGCAATTGTTTATTCTGAACTATGTGATTTTTAGTTTTTTGGGTTTTTTCCCTTATGTATTAGGCAAGAAATTTGAGATTAGGAATAGGTTCAATTAGTTGTTAGGAAAGAGTGATTTAAACATATGAGATATGATTGAAATATATAGTGCATGTTTTAAATGTCTCAAATTTACTGGGCATAGTGGTGCATACTTGTAACCTCAGCACTCAAGAGACTGAGGCACGAGAATAGCTTGAAGTTTCAGGCCAGCCTGGGCTACATGGTGAGACCTTGCCTCAAAAGGAAGTAAAATGAAATAAATTTTTTAAATTGGTTATAGCCGGGCATTGTGGTGCATGCCTATAATCCTAGCATTCAGGAGGCTGAGGCAGGAGAATCACCGTGAGTTCAGGGCCAGCCTGGGGAGCTGATTTGAATTCAAGTGTTCTCACCAGCTTGAACCACTGGTAGTACATGCATGGCTGTCCCATCCAGGAGTTTGTACCACTTTTCAGGGGTGTTTGATTATGGTAATGCAAAGAAAGTCTTCGATTTAGCAGACCAGATACTGTATTACAGTTCCTTAAGGAAAATGGTATTTTATTTTATCTTATCTTATCTTATCTTATTTATTTATTTATTTATTTATTTATTTATTTATTTTTGGTTTGGTTTTTTTCCCGGTACCGGGGATCAAGCTCACAACCTTGTGCTTTCCGGGCAGGCACTATGCTGCTGAGCTAAATCCCCAGCCTCTGAAAATGGTATTTTAAAACATTATAATATAGCTAATTTTATGGTATAGCAGCTCTAAATGTTATATTCACCAGGAATAGGGTAGTAGTAAGATTTCTGTGTTAAAATGTAGAGAATTAATTGATATACTATTCATGAATATAAATAAATTTTTTAATGAAATAAGTTTTTAAATTATTTTTAAAGTTGGTATGGGTAGTATTAATATTTGCATTTGGGCAATAATTATTCAAATTCAAGGGGCTAACTGGATTTGGTATATTTATAGACTTGTTATTAATTAGGGAAATGATTAATAAAAGTGATTAGAACCTTTGTACTACCAGTAGTTTAAGCCACCCAATAGGACAGTCGTGCATCTACTACTGGTGGTTCAAGCCAGTGGATTAATCTCCTCCAAATGTTCCTCCTTATTTTAAATACATGTATCCCATCATCCTTGATACTTTGTGAAGCAGTCTGGGAAATCCTTTTTAGTGAGTATGTTTAGGAGGTGTGATGAAAAATCCTGTGAACTCCACAGTTGCATGTCATCTGGTGGAAACCCAGGCACATAAAAACAATGTGTCCTAGTTCACTTTATTCACCAGATTTGATACCATGCAATTTCTAAGTTTTCCACAAGGTCAAAATGACCATGAAAGGTAACTGTTTTGGATTGGTTTAGGACATCAAAGCAACTGCAACAGTATAATGAAGAACTCAGGAGTAAGGACTTCCAGAACTTTTTCACAATATGGCGAGAATGATGGGAAAAGTATGTTCAAAGCAAGGAGGAGTGTTTTGAGGGAGATTAATGGTAATGTGTCTTACTGTAATGAATTTTTAAATTCTTAAAATTTTAAAAAAAGTTTTTATATATCAATCCTATAATACACATGTAGAGAGAGAATAAAAGTAAGAGGAAACTCCTTGAGGATGGGGAGATCAGATAAAAAACTCTGAGTCACAATAGACACTCCCATTCCCTATTTAAGACCTGTAGTCGTGGGTAACTGAACTCGGCTGTTGTCTTCTGTTTCCTCAGAACTTGCCTGACTCACTAGGTTTGTGGCTTCCACTTGCATGTGGTGAGTGTATTTCTCCACTAATAAGTTATCTACAGTTTTAACCCATATTTTGAAGAGTCTAGGGACAGATCTGGCAGTTAATGTTCTTTTTAGTTATACGGTCAGCTTGTCTAACTGCAGAGTGCATTTGGTCCTAGAAAGCTGGGTACATACCCCCACAAGATAGTAAACTTCTAACATTATTATGTGATTTTTAGTGATACTTTTCATGATTCAGTTGCACAGTGCTGGAATGTAGACTTCGTAGGCAAGAAAGGACTGGTATAAGGGTAAGGCATGTGCTTGAACTGCCTCATGAGCCTACCACACAGTCAAATTGAAACCTGCATATGCTCTTCAACAAATTGGAGAGTAAAATCTAGTAGTTACCATCAATAGTAATTCAACCTACCTACACATGTTTTTGTGAAGATAAGTGTTTATTATTATTAAGCAGACATGTAAGTATTCTCATTTAATTATCAAACTTGGGTTTGTTGAACCAAGAATGATGGTGTATGCTTGTAACCCCATGACTTGGCAAACATGTTTAAGAGGCTGCTGGGTTTTGTGATAATGTACACCTTATTATTAGAATATTCTTCAAAGTAAATTTGTCTAAAGCACATACTTTCTAGTCAAATTTTATTCATGTGCTGTCTTTGGAGACTCAGTTTCTTCTCACTGAATTAATACCACCAGCAGAAACTTACAGTATGCAAATCTGTCTGGGCCTATTTTTTCCTTTGTACTATTCTTAATATCTACCTGTAAAAATTGACATGAATAAAAAATGTTCACATGGGTAGTGTTGGTATATTTGACCTCAAGTTTTATCTCATTAGATTTTCACTGTATGTTTTTCAGCATTAGTCCTGTTACTACATAAATGACATGAATGGTATAGTTATGGTTCTTCTAAAGGATTTCAAACTATTATAGTAAATATTAAAATCCATCTTTACATATAGGATCCTAAATTACCCAAGGATATTTTCATGCCATTATGAAATTCCCATTTAAGAATAATAGATATTCAGGTGGATATCGAGTTGCATGCCTGTCATTCCAGCATTCTGGGAGGCTGAGGCAGGAGGGTCATAATTGGGAGCCCAGTCTGGGTAACTTAGCAACTTAGAGAGATCTTGTCTCAAATTTAAAAAAAAAAAAATAGGCAGAAGATGTAGCTCAATGCAAAAGCTCTGTTTTGTTTTGTTTTTAATGGATATTTTTATATATTAGCTAAAGTGTTGCCACCATGTGGCAGTAGCAGAAACCTGTTTCACTATTCACTTGGTCTGGTAGCTCTGAAATTTATTCTTGTATATGTTTTAAAGTATTTTGTGCCTGGGATGTAGCTCAGTGGCATAAGTGCCTGCCTGGCAAGCGTAAGGTCCCAAGTTCGATTCCCAGTACCAAAACTAAAAATAAAAAATGATGTATTTTGTGAGGCAGGCATGGTGATTTATGCCTGTAATTCCAGGACTCTGGAGTCTGAGGCAGGAGGATCACTGCATTCAAGGTCAGCCTGGACAGCAAGACCCTGTCTCAAAACAAACAAAAACAAAACAATATATTTTAACCCTTTTGGTGGGGAGGGGGCTTGCATATTCTAGGCACTATCTCTAGTGCTGAGCTACATTATATCGCATCCCTTTAAATTTTTTATAATTCACTGAATTGCCTGGGCTGGCCTCCAACTTGCAATCTTCCTGCCTCAGCTTCCCAAGTAGTTGGGATTATAGGTGTGTGCTTTCATGTTCAGTTGAGATTCATATGTTGTATATTATGTGAGGCTTTATTTTTAATTAACCTGCCTAAATCTTGATTATCATGTAAAATGGGGCACAATGCATAAAAAAAAGAAATTTACATATTACAGGTCCTGACATATCTTAAGTTGAGTTGCCTGATGTACAATACTGTGTGCTGTTCTCCAGGTGAACCGTCCTATTGGCAGGGTGCAGATCTTCACTGCAGACTTATCGGAAATTCCCCGTTGCAATTGTAAAGCTACTGATGAAAACCCTTGTGGGATAGACTCTGAGTGCATCAACCGCATGCTGCTATATGAATGCCACCCCACAGTATGTCCTGCTGGAGGCCGCTGTCAAAACCAGTGTTTCAGTAAGCGCCAGTATCCAGAGGTTGAAATTTTCCGCACATTACAGAGGGGCTGGGGTCTACGGACAAAAACAGATATTAAAAAGGTGATGAAAACTCTTCTTCATTATCAGATTATTTTATTTTCATTGCTTAATATGATTAGTTCTTGATGAATATGAGAAAATTTATCATAGAGGAAGATAAGATAGTTTAGGGCTTAACTTTATTATTTTATCATGCTATACCTTCTAGTGTTGAGATGATAAAGGATGGTTTTCTTCTCTATATAGTGATCATGTTCTTAGATTCTCACATGATTAGCTCTTTTGTGAAAATCCTGAAACTAGTATTTAAGAGGAGATATAATAAGCGCACAAGCCGGGATGTAGCTCTGTGGCACAAGCGCCTACCTGGCAAGCACAAGGTCCTGAGTCCAATCCCCAGTACAAAATTTGGGGGCTGGGGATTTAGCTCAGCGGCACAGCACCTGCCTGGCAAGCGCAAGGTCGTGAGTTCGATTCCCGGTACCAGAAAAAAAAACAAAAAACAAACCCAGTACAAAATTTAAAAAAAAAAAAAAACAAAGAGATGTTAATCATCTTTTGATAAACTATTTTAGTGGGGTAGAAATAGTTGGGTTCATGGAACATAAAAGAGGGTGAGGTTTTTTCCAGTGAAAATGTACTGAAATCTTCAACTGGAAACATTCCAAGATTTGTAAGTTTTTCACAAATAGATAATATTATACAGTTGGTATAATGGTATAATATGGATCTTTTTTGACATTTTAATAAAATAAGCTTTATTCTGGCTATAATTTCTGAAGAATTTGATAATTCTTTATTAGAAAGACAATAAATTGGGTAGGCTTGTTTTAGCGATTTACCAAGTAATCATTACATACCTAGTGTTTGGGCACTGTGGTGGAGATACAGTAATCAAAATGGGAGACATGGGCCCTGCTTTCATGAAGTTTACATTCTAGAGGCAGAGAGACATAGGAAAAGAACTTCACCCAGTGTGTTAGTCCAGTGCTCTGAAGTCACATGGCAAAGAACCTGAAAGTAGTTTCGCTTTGAGGATGTTTTCAGACTTTGAAGGTGAATGCTTGTTGGTTTAGGCAAGGCTAATTATACTACAGCAATGACAGTGGTGTGAAATTACAGGGGCAAAAGGGTAGGGTGAGCTCCAAGGAAGATGAAAATTGACTTACCCCGGGACAGTGACAGTGCTTGTCCAAATCTCCTTTATGAGGAAGCTTTAGTTTATTTATAGTATTCTATTCTGATATATCTATAGTACTGGATTTATTCTTTTTTCTGCTGGTGGCTGTGGTGAGGAATAATTTTCATTATCAAATAGTTGAGGCATCATAAAGTAACTAATTGCATGTGGATAAATTGATTTAGAGAATCTGATATCTTCATTAGTTTCTAAATCTATGTAAATACCTATGTGCTTTTCCCATTAAGTCAGTTTTTTCTTGTTTTAGGGTGAATTTGTGAATGAATATGTGGGTGAACTAATAGACGAAGAAGAATGCAGAGCTCGAATCCGTTATGCCCAAGAACATGATATTACTAATTTCTATATGCTCACCCTAGATAAAGTAAGTAATGGATCATGTTGTTACTACTGCATTAATATGGTGAAATTTATATTATCTCAGCTAGTATTTGCAGGTATAATATGTAAACTGTACACATGACCTAAGCCAGGTTTTTTCAGTTACGGGAATTACTTGAATAGGGGTTGTAGAATAGGCAAGCTTGAATGTTTCTGAAGGCAATAAAGCTGCTTTTTACCTTTTTTTTTTCCGCATTTCAGTCCTGGGGATTAAATCCAGTGCACTGAGTATGCCTGTAGCTCCAGCAGTCTGAGAACCTGAAGCAGGAGGATCATAAATTTGAGGCCACCTTGTGCAGTCTGACCCTGTCTCAAAATAAAAAATTATGAAAGGATTTGGAATGGAGCTTAATGCAAAGACCCAGCATTCAGTGCCAAGTCTCTCCCCACTTCTTAAAAAGCTCAAGTCATTTTCACAGTTATAAGAATTTTCTGATGAGTTTCATTTTTTTGGTACCTGGAATTCTACGTTAGAATTTATTTTAAATTTTTAATATCTTATTGTGTTTATTTTCTTTGTACTTGTACTTTAGGTTACACTAATTTATTGTATGTTTTTAGTTTTTTGAGACAAGGTCTCATTATGTAGTTCAGACTGGCCTTCAGCTTACTTTGTAGCCTATGCTGGCCTCAAACTCAGGGCAGTCTTCCTGCCTCAGCCTCCCAAGTGCTGGGATTACAGGCATGCATAATTTTTTTTCTGTCTTTAGTAACCCTTTTCCTAGTATTTATTTTTGTAAATGTTTTCCATAAGATGTACTTTTACAGTGAATGAAATCTTTACCTCCACATATTTTCACTGTAGTTTAAGATAAGTTGGTATCAGTGTGAATGTATGTACTTATATATGTATGTATGTATTGAGACAGTGTCTTTCCATGTAGTTTAGGCTAGCTTTGAACTCACTATGTAGCCCAGGCTGGCTTGGAACTCACAGTGATCCTCCTACCTCAGTTTCCTAAGTGCTGGGAGTATAGGTATGTGCCACCATGCCTGGTCTGGTATCAGTATTTAAATCTCATTGGATCTCTTTGTTGGTTGATTTTTTTAATTTTGGGGGGGTTTGTGCTAGGGATTGAATCCAGGGCCTTCAAACTGAGCTACATTCCCACCCCTTTCTTATTTTGAAGTAGAGTTTTGCTAAGTTTTCTAGAAAGTACTTGAACTTTCAATCTTGTTGCCTTAGCCTCCCAGTGTACTGGAGCTCTAGGGGTATACCATCACACCCAGCTAAGTAATTTTGTAATGTGTACCTGTTTTGAGAACTTCCTAATGAGGGAATGGGGAGCTTGCTGCTTTTAGGGCAGTGGTATTTAAATTTATGTGTATACCGTGAAAATTCCTTCATGAATTTGTTACAATTCAAATTATTGAGCCACATCATGCAGTTTCTGCGTTAGCATATGTGAAACACAACCCAAGAATTTGTATTTCTAATAACCTTCTAGAGGTAGTTGTTGCTGTTGGTCCATGTGTTACACTTTCAGAACCACAGTTCTGGAAGATTCAATTTTCAAAGTATTAATAAAGAGAATAGTCTAATTTTAGCCAGTAGTGGAAGTTTCAAGAAATCTGACAGCAGGGTTTTTTTGTAATTCTAGGACCGAATCATTGATGCTGGTCCCAAAGGAAACTATGCTCGGTTTATGAATCATTGCTGCCAGCCCAACTGTGAAACACAGAAGTGGTCTGTGAATGGAGATACCCGTGTCGGCCTTTTTGCCCTGAGTGACATTAAAGCAGGTAAGAGTCAATTAGACATTCTGGAGACTGAATTTTTGATTCTCTCATTTAAAATTCTCACATGTCCTACACCCTAAAATGAAGATTCCAAATTCCTGAGGATAAAAGGCTTACCAGGTGATACTTGGTGACAATGATAAAAGACACAAAATTTACTTTTTTTCCCAATACTGAGGATGAAATGTGGGGACATTTTACTGAACCACAACCCCAGCCCTCTTTCCGTATTTTTAAAATTTTGAGACAGGATCTCACTACATTTTCCACATAGGCCCCAAGTTTGTGATCCTCTTGCCTCAGCTTCCCATAGTGCTGATATTACAAACATGCACTTCCAGACAGGTAAAAATTTATATTTTAACCATTTTTTAAGGTTTACAAGGAGTTGGGGATTTAGCTCAGCGGCACAGTGCCTGCCTGGCAAGCACGAGGTCGTGAGTTCGATTCCCAGTCCTGGAAAAAAAAAACAAAAAAGATTTACAATTTTACACAGCACCTGCCTGGCAAGCGCAAGGTCGTGAGTTCGATTCCCAGTACTGGAAAAAAAAACAAAAAATAAATAAAATGGAGCTGGGGATTTAGCTCAGCGGCACAGCACCTGTCTGGCAAGTGCAAGGTCGTGAGTTCAATTCCTGTTACCAGAAAAAAAAGCCAAAAAAAAAAGGTTTACAATTTTAATACATTAAGTACATTCACGTTGTTCTATGTCTGTCACCCCCACTCACCTCTGAAACCTTTCATCTTCTCCAACTGAAACTTTCTGTTTTCTCTACTTGCTATTTTCTCTCTGAATTTGACTACTATAATAACTTCATATAAATGGAATCATACAATACAGTGGTATCTCAGTTCACAAACTTAAGAGACTTCCACGATTTTGGAAAAGATGGCCGTGTTTGTGTGGGAAAGTTGGCAGCACTTGTGTTTGTCACCAGATGCAGACTTTGCAAACAAAAACAAAATATTGTCAGATGCTTCTGTTTGCAAACCAAACTGTTTGCGAAACAAAACATTCATGAACTGAAATCCCACAGTATTTGTTTGTGACAGTTGTTTCCCCAACATCGTATTTTCAAGGTTGAACATGGATAGTTTTAAGGGAATACATTCTTAGACCTTTTACTTTGATATAAACTTGTCACAGATTGCTCTGCCTTTGAAATTCCCAGGTCTCCAGGTCTCCCTTGTCACCTTTTCTTCCATAGTTGCCTTTTTTCTGTTTTCTCCCTCTGTACAAACCAAAAGTTCACCTCTTTCTCTCAATCGAAGCTATGTTTTTATTGGGAGGGGGGTGTTTTCTGTTTTTTGAGACAGGGTCTTGTTATGAACTCACTGTAGCCTGGGCTAGTGTTGAATTCGTGGTGATCCTTCTGCTTCAGCCTCCCAAGTGTTGGGACTGTAGGTGTGCACCACTGCACCTGGCTGCTTATTCAGATCTTAATGGGTTATCTGTGCAAGGCCTATGTATGTGTGTGTTTTGCTGGCACCAAACTGAAGGTCTATGCATGCTAATCAGTTGCTGTGTCACTGAGTGACACTATACCCCCAGTGCTCAAGATTTTTTGTTGTTGCTGTTTTGTCTTTTTGAGACAGGGTCTTGCTATGCAGTTCAGGCTGGCCTTGAGCTCACTCAAAGTGATTTTTCTGCCTCAGCCTCCCGAGTGCTGGGATTATAGGCATGCGCCACCATGCTGAGCCTCAGGATTATTTTAAAAAAACAAATCTCTGAAGTGCCAAGGAACTGTTGAATTGTTTGGATACAGCATAGCTCTGTGACTATCTTCCTAGCACTTTATATTTCTTTTTTTCTTTTTGAGACTGAGTCTCTCTACTTTGTATGTAGCCTAGGCTGGCCAGGAACTTCCAGTCCTGTCTTAGCCTCCCCAGTGCAGGGATTGTTTATAGGTGTAATCTACCACACCTGCCTAGCAGTCTATGTTTCTAAGAGTTAGAATACAGAAGGGAGATGGTTGTAAGCAGGATAGTATTAAGACATTTATTTGAATTTAAAGTAAAACTGAAATAGCTTGATTTTATGGTCAAAACTTATGGTGGCTATGTTCCGTAAATTAAAAGAGCTTCACGGTTTTGATAAAAAGTGATTTAATCACATATATAGTATGTATATATGACACCCTCCAAATTACATGACTTTTAAAGATATTTAAACTTGTGTAACATTTGTGAATTTTGAAATGTACACATACATTTGAAAATGAGTGAGCAAAACAGTTGAAGATTACTCTCTTGTACTCAAACTAATACAAGACTGGCCTAGGCAGTTTGTAATTGAGTATAGTCCAATTACTATTAAAGCAGAGATGTTCCACAGGAGCATTTTGGATGACTGAATTCCCCCTTGACCTAGTCAGTCTTGTTGATAACTGGGGATTCTACCATCCCCAAGGAAGGACTTAAATACCTCCCACTAATCCTCATTTTAAAGTTTCTACCATCTTCTGATAGCATCTCTCTGGGACCATCTCTCTAGTGTTAGTCAAGACAAAAAAAATTTAAAAGCAGTTTGGTTGTTGTTCTCTATATGTGTTTTTGTTCTTACTTATTTTATTCTGTGAGACTTCTCCCGCCCACACCCCCCCCATGCCATGTACATTTTCTCTGTCATTGAAATAAGTTGTTCAGAGCTAGGGATATAGGTCAGTGGCACAGTGCCTTCCTGGCAAGCGCAAGGTCCTGCATTCGATTCCCGGTACATTCAGTTGATAAGTAAACAGGTAAGTTGTTCAGTAGTCTTGTAGGCTTTTCAGAATTATAAAGGTTCTGACAATTTTCAGATTTAAAAAAATCAAGCCACACTAGTCCCTCATTTTCTTTCTAGCAGTTTGCTTTATGTAAAGTACCAAATGATTCAGGTAACAACACTTAAGCATGACTGTGTGCTGTACTTTAAGTGTTTGTTGGTTGCTTTTGGAATTTGAGACAGTCCCACTATATAGTTCAGGCTGGCCTCAAGCTCATAGCAATCTTCCTGCATCAAATTCCAAGTGCTGGGATTATAGGCAAGAGCCACCAGGGCCAAGCTGTTACTCATTTTTAAGTATTGACTGTGTCAACTTTTTGAAGTCGTGTATTAGTCAATTTTCAGTCACTGTAACAAGTATTTTAAGATAATCAATAGTAAAAAGGTTTATTTTGTCTTTTTCTTTCTTGTTTTATTTTGGTTTTATCTTTTGAGACAGGATCTCTCTATAGTCTGTGCTGGCCTAAAACTCACTGTATAACCCATGGTGGCCACAATCTTCTTGTCTTAGCCTCCCAAATGCTGGGATTACAGGAGTGCATCACCACATACAGTTGAAAAAGATTTACTTTGGTGCACAGATTTGGAGATTCCACTCCATGATCAGGTCACCCATTGCTTTTAGATCTCTGAGATGCATGCTGTACAGCAATGGTGAAACAAAACTGTTCTATGGTCAGAAAATAACAACAGGCCAGAGACCCACAATCCCCTTCAAGGATACATCCCACTAATCCTCATTTTAAAGGTTCTACCATCTTCTGATAGCATCTCTCTGGGACCATGCCTTGAAACAGATGGTCCTTCGGAGGACATTTAGGTTCACACTGAAGTCAGTTCATGGTGTCACATGCTATAATCCCAGCACTCTGAGGAAGGCTGAGGCAGGATGCTTTCATATTCAGTCACAAACTTAGCAAGATTCTGCCTCAAAACACAGAATAAAGGGGCGAAGATGTAGCTCCACAAGGATGCCCTCCGCTACCATGTCTAGCCATGTGTTTTTCCCATATTCTCTCTGCTTAGGTAGGTTGATTGTAATTCATAGCCTGTGTCTTCCAGTCTGCATGGATTAGATGAGGGAAATGAGAATGTGCTAAATGCCAGTTTGAATGCATGTCAGAGTTGATGGTTAGGCATCCAGAGGCTTTTTTGGGTGTAGGGATGGACAAGGTCTTGCCGTGTAGTTCAGGCTGGGCTTGAACTCACTGTGGAGCTCGGGCTGGCCTTGAACTCATAGTGATCCTCCTGCCTCAGGCTCCTTAGCACAAGGTTACAGGATGCAGTCCTGTGCCCAGACTAGGCAAACTATATATGTATGTAAACTTCTGTTATCTGTTAGGCCTCCCTCACTTGCTTTTAATAATGTCACATGCTTTTTCTGCTATTATAGTTATGATGAAATGAACCTTTGACAGGCAGACTTTGTACTTCAAATCTCTGTTCTTCACTTTAAAGTTTGATAGTTATTGCTGTGTGCATTATGTCATATTTTCTAAGTTTTTAAGATCATTTCTCCATTTATAAAATGGACTTCTTAGGGTTCAGATCACTCAACCAGGTTGTGGCATAATGTGATGTATGTTCATTCTGTGTCCTAACACTCCTAAGTATTATTCGGTACTTTTCCCTTGAGTGCTGCTGGGTAAGGTGTGTTCAGTTGGGGAGCAGTTACAAGGTCTTCTCATTTGTATTCCCAGTACTTGATACGCTAATACAGAATAAGCTTGATTTTTGTGTGTGTGTTTGTTTTGGTTTTAAATATATATTTTGAAAGGTTGCAAAATAAATGAGAAAATGAACACCTTTATAGTAAGGTTATTTTTGAATTTTACTGTTAAGCTATTGAAGCTCAGTATTAACTACCTGATTAATAGTTACATGGTTAAACAATGTACTGGGATTGGAGGTAATATTTTTTATTTCTCTTTCTAAAACTAATCTATTCTTTTACAAGCTAATAGCCTTTGTAATTAATAAGGAAGTAATGTCATTAAAACCATAGATATTAATATTTTCATGGTCTCTTGTGCAGGCACTGAACTTACCTTCAATTACAACCTAGAATGTCTTGGGAATGGAAAAACTGTTTGCAAATGTGGAGCTCCAAACTGCAGTGGCTTCTTGGGTGTCAGGCCAAAGGTATCACCTTCTAGACTTCTGCATTGGGAACAGTGGTGTGGTTCTCCCTTCTTCGGTGTTAGAGCTCAATCTTCATTTTAACACAGTACCTCTTTAACCAGGCATGGTGGTGCATGACTGTAATCCCACCACCTGGGAGGCTAAGGCAGGAGGCTCACCATGAGTTTGAGGCTAGCCTGGTCTACATGGTGAGTTCAAGGCCAATCTGAAGTACATAGTGAGACCCTGTCTCAAGAAAAAAAAGGAAAAAAGGAAGGGGAAAAAATACCTCTTTGAAATAATAACAACAAATTGGTGTCAGCAGTGCCACTGGGTAAAACTTAGGAAAAAGTTTGGATACTCTGTTTCGTTATTCAGTGGAAGATTTTTGGGGAATTCCTGAAGTGTTTTGATTAGTCTGACTTTAATTGGTTATATTTTTCTAGCTAAAAAAGTTGTAAAATAGTTGTAAAATAGTATTCTCTAAACAGGTTACTTCTCACATCTTCATTGGTCTCAGTTCATCTTACATCTGTCTCTCTCTTTTTTTGGTCTTTTTGAGACAGGGTCTCGCCATGCAGTTCAGGCTGGCCTTAAACTCTCAATGATCTTCCTGCCTCAGTCTCCCAAGTGTTGGGATTATAGGCATGCACCACCATACCCGGCCAATCTTACATCTCTTAAGGTGCTTAACTTTGTCAGTATATCTACAGCTGAATTTAAGATTCTAATATCACATCATAGTATGATACTTTAAAAAACAGTACATGCCCATAGGAGGAAAAAAAGGAAAAGGGAGGACACTACTCCTAGCATTATAACAAAGTATAACCATTATTGAGTCTCCCTGGTTTTCTTATATGCATTTTAGCTTATAAATTCTATAACTGTTAGGAATAGTTTACACGCTTTTATTTTGCTTTTAATATTACTTAAAAGCTTTCCATGCTGGGTGTGGTGGTGTGTGCCTATTATCCCAGCACTTGGGAGGCTGAGGCAGGAGTATAACTATGAGTTTGAGGCCAGCCTAAACTACACAGTTGGACCTATCTACAAAACTAAAGCTTTCTTATGTGTAGTCCTCTTAAACATGATTTTTAGTGGTAAGGTTTTTTATGAAAAAGGCTGACCATAAATTATATTCATCTAGGTGTTTTAGAATTTCTCTACCATAGATGATAGGCACTGAAAATTGAAGTTTAATGTTGATGGAAATTGGGGATGGGCGTGGTGGGACATGCCTATAATCTTAGGACTAGAGGCTGAGGCAGAGTGATTGTCACAAGTGCCAGCCTAAATTAGAGAGCAAGACCCTGTCTCACAAAAAAAAAAAAAAAAGCGTGCGCGCACACACACAAATAATTCTAATTGGGTATTTCTCATTATGTATTTTTTTCTTTTAATTTCAATATTAACCACATATCGGTCCCAATTATTTAAAAACAAATTTACCAAATCTTGCATTTCTTCATTAATTTTTAAAAAGTTATATAACAGCAACTATAAAAATGAAAATTTTATTCAATTTACTCAGTTTTTCTTTGAATGGTATATCCTAAAACATTCAATACACAACGCAGCGTTACAATCTGGACAGTAGTATCTGGTCTCATTCTGAATTCTTTTTGCATCATTGTCTTTCTTTGAACAACACACTTTATGCTGTCATGTTGGTCTTTCCTTTTGTGCTGTGCGTGGTATAATTTCAGTAAAATGTCTCCCCACTGCACATAATGGTGACAGCGTTGATGATGGACATCCTGGTCAGCATTTTGTTATCCCATACTTTTTAATTATTTGGTCTATTTGACCTAATCTAAATTTTAAATGACTTTGCACCCCCACTTTGAGTAAATAACAAATGACTTCCATATTGTTTGCTCCAGAAGGTACGTAAATATCTTATAATAATATTTTTTTTAGGCAGTCCACTCAGTACCCCTCCTGTCTCTCAGGAGGTATTTCCATTCCACATTTCTATTCCCCAATAAACCTTTCCTTAAAATCAATATAAATATAAATATGTATATATATATATTTTCCTCATGTTTGATTATAGGATAGTTTGCTAGATACTAGTCAACTGTGTTAACACCACCTGTAGAATTATTATAGTACTGCCCACTATTGGAATTTTTTTAGTTTTGTTTCTTTTTTCAAGTTATATCATTTTTGTATAATGAACAAGGAGACTTCTTTTTGGTCTTTCCATTTCATAGCAGATTTTTCCTCTCTGATACACTAACATTTCTTTTTTTCAGTTTTTTGTTTTTTAGATCTTTTGGCACTTCCTTCCTATTTAGTCTTAGTGTCCCAGATGTGTCTGATTTGTATCGTAAAAGAATATCACTGAGTTCTGGAGAAGTATAAAATTCATACTTCTAATGCACTTACATTAAAAGTTTTTGTAGATTGTAGTGCAGAATTATAGGCTATTTTTCATAAAATAAACAGAAATTAGTAAAAAAAAAAATCACCAGAGCTTACTATTAGATTTCACTAGAAACAAATATCAACAGCAAATACAATGTTCTATAATAAAAAGTATGCAAAAAATAGTTTACATAAAGCAAACATATGTACAAGTGTATCTCCTGCAAACAAGAATTGACTGGTTTAAAATTATGACAGCCTGAGCAACACTAAGGAAAGTTAATATATAACCAAGCACTGCCTGAGTGTCTTGGGGTGAACTGTTAAGTGGTTAGGAACTGAAAATGTACATTCTCATAGAAACTAGTAAGAAAATAGAGTAAATATGGCATGGTGGTACAAACCTGCCATCACAGCACTCTGAGAGACTGAGGCGGAAGGATCAAAAGTTTAAGCTGGGGATTTAGCTTAGCGGCACAGCATCTGCCTGGCAAGCGTGAGGTCGTGAGTTCAATTCCTGGTACTGGAAAAAAAAACAAAAAAAAAGTTTAAGCCTAGCCTGGACAACTTAGCAAGAGACCTTGTCTCCAAAATAGGGCTGGGCATGTAGCTCAGTGTGAAGGCCAGGGGTTTAATCCCTAGTACAAAAAAGGTAAATAATTTTGAGCAATAAAATATGAAAAATATCTAGTAATACACTTTTATTTGTTAAATAGGGAAAATCACCTCTGTATTATATTGGATTTCATTTTTTGTTTAGTTGTTTGCTTAAATGGCTTATTGCTAAAGATGTCACCAGATTTGTTTCTTATAAATTGAAATAGTGTTTAAATTCATTCCAAAGTTAATGGTGTCAAGTTTCTACCTTAAGGCCTTTACTGGATGGCAACCAGAGCACAAGTTTAAGAATGGGAGATCACTGTTAGCTGTTAGTAAATACTGACCTGTCAGTATAGAAGGGACCTTAGTTAACAGCAGTACATACAAATTATGGCCAATCATGACTGTAGTAAGTGTCACTGATTGGTCCTAAATGTTTTATGCTAAGATTAATAATGTGATGAAAATCATTGACTTTGATGACCAGGCTGCAGGAAGTAGAGATGAACACTGTTAGTTGCACCAGGTTCTATCTTGACTCAAATAAGGGTCATAAATTACTTTTCTGTGTCTTTACAATGCTCAGTGAAAGTCTTTTGAGTAATATACCGCATGTATATACACACACGAGCGTCTTTGGCTTTGAATTAGACATACATAGACATTTAGACATCCACAGACATTTTCAATCCCCAACCTTATATATCAACAAAATTAGCATATTTTTTTTTATTCAGCTGGAAAAAATAACTGGGACAGAACTGGTTTTTAATGCTGCTATGTGTTTTAAATTTATACTGTGCAAGGTGCCTTTGCTGTGTTTTTTTCTTACCTTCACAACAGTCTATAAGGACTGTCTTATTCCAGAGGAGAGATGGACACTCAGAAAGGATAGTTAACCTGGTCATGATTATATAACTAAGGTTTTGACAAAGTGCTAACTGCTCAATGTCTGACCTCTAGAATCAACCCATTGCCACAGAAGAAAAGTCAAAAAAATTCAAGAAGAAACAACAGGGGAAGCGCAGAAGCCAGGGTGAAATCACAAAAGAACGAGAGGATGAATGTTTCAGCTGTGGGGATGCCGGCCAGCTGGTCTCCTGCAAGAAACCAGGCTGCCCCAAAGTTTACCATGCAGACTGTCTCAATCTGACCAAGCGACCAGCAGGTTGGTGCCAGAATCCATTCAGAGTGCTGCTTGTTCTCTGCTTGAATCCTCAGGTTCTGACAGCACTTGATTCAGTATGGAAAAAAGTAGCATTTGCTCTCCTCATGCATACTGTTTAGGGATGTAGTCCATGTTCTCATTCTGGAAATAAATGGTAAGTAAGGCTTTGAATCATAAATTACAGAAAGTGCACCAAAATTCGTTGAGTTTCAGGTATTCTACTTTGTTTCATCTTCCCAGCAGCGCCAAAATGTCAGTTTTTCTCCATAATACATGTGCAGAAACAGTCAAGATTGAGATGAGGGGCTGGGGATTTAGCTCAGTGGCACAGCGCCTGCCTGGCAAGTGCAAGGTCATGAGTTCGATTCCCGGTACCGGAAAAAAAACAAAAGAAAAGATTGAGATGAGTTGTCACAATTTGATGAGGGAGCTGGATTGAAAACCAAGTTTTCTGACTCCCAGGTCACTAAATCATGCCTTTTCAGAAGGAAAATTGAGGATAGTAGAGCCTTCGGGTTGTTCCAGTCAGTGAAAGATGGAGTGACACCCCTTTAGGCACTGTCTACCTAACTTGCCCCTGCTGGGTTTCCTCTTTTACAGTGCAGACTTTTCTGCTTTGAAGAAACTATAGTCATATCAGTTAATGTGTGAGAGAGCTGCTCAGGCAGGAATTTGTGATTGCATAAGTTGATAACCATTTGTTTGTGATTTGTGATTTGAAAATTTGAAGGATTTGGAAATGCTAGCTATTTTTTAAGAACAAAAGTGATGAGTAGGGACTCATTCCAGGGTGAGGTGATTGTGTATCACTAGTCACTATAGTATCACTTCACTATAGAAGTACAAAAATAGGAGAACTTTGGAGTGCAAGTGAGAGAAATGTCTTCCTGAATTGGTTTTCCTTTTTTTGTGTGTGCCGGGAGTCAAACTCACAACCTTGCACCACTGAGCTATATCCCTGGCCCTGGCTTTCCTTTAGTATGTATTTGTCAGGTTTGTGAAATAATAGAAACCCTAGGCCATAACATTGACATGTTAATGCCAGGATATAAATTTGGGACTTAACTGAGAATCAGTTACTCAAGGCACTCATGAACACAGGGGATGCTATAACTGTGCCTGTATGCCAACCATACGGTCTAACGTAGTTTATTTGGGGTGGAAACACTGTCAATAGTCAAAACTCAGATTTCTTGAAGCGGGTAGGGGTAGGTACAAGCTCACTTTGACTTTGAGTCTTTTCCACTGATTTTATTTGGACAATATATAAAGTTTTGTGTTTCAAGATTTAAAATTGAACAGAGATATATCTGCTTCCATTTTTTTTCCAACTGTGTATTTTTTTCCTATTTCTGTTAAAACCATGTAAGCAGGGGTATAAATAGCTAAAGTGTTCCTCTTTGAGTTGGATATTTGAAAGGTGTCCAGTACAGATGGAGTTTGCAGAAATATGAAAGTAATATTCAAAAGCTTCATCTGAAAGGTATTTAGGGATTGGTTTTGTTGGGTTTTTGTTTTTCTTCTTCCTTCCTAAAAATAGTTTAAAGATACGGATTTACTCATGCCTTTATGTAGTCAGTAATTGCTCAACCTTGATACTTTGCTGTTATTCTATGTATTGTTTTATACAGAAGAGGGAGGAAGCTGAAATTCTGGGGAAGGAATGATGGCAGGTAAGTGGCATAAACTGAAAAAGGTGACAGTTTGAAGAAGGCTTTGCAGCCACTAAACTGAACCAGTTTTAGAGCCATGGCTCATCTCACGTACATCTCTTTCCTAAGCTTTTCTTCATTTCTTGTATTTTCAGGGAAGTGGGAGTGTCCTTGGCACCAGTGTGACGTCTGTGGGAAGGAAGCAGCCTCCTTCTGTGAGATGTGCCCCAGTTCATTCTGCAAGCAACATCGGGAAGGGATGCTCTTCATTTCCAAACTCGATGGGCGTCTCTCTTGTACTGAGCATGATCCCTGTGGGCCCAACCCTCTGGAACCTGGGGAGATCCGTGAGTATGTGCCTCCCTCAGTGCCGCTGCCTCCAAGCCCCAGTACTCACCTGGCAGAACAATCATCAGGAATGGCTGCTCAGGGTCCCAAGATGTCAGATAAACCACCTGCTGATGCCAACCAGACGTTGCCACTCTCCAAAAAAGCTCTGGCAGGGACTTGTCAGAGGCCACTGCTACCTGAAAGACCTCTGGAGAGAAGTGACTCCAGCTCCCAGCTTTTAGATAGGGTCAGAGACCTTGCTGGGTCAGGGACCAAATCGCAATCCTTATCAAACCAGAGGCCGCTGGACAGGCCATCTGCAGTGGAAGGACCAAGACCACAGCTATCTGACAAACCCTCTCCAGTGACCAGCCCAAGCTCCTCACCCTCAGTGAGGTCTCAACCACTGGAAAGACCCCTGGGGATGGCTGACCCAAGGCTGGATAAATCTATAGGTGCTGCCAGCCCAAGGCCCCAGTCACTAGAGAAAAACCCAGCTCCCACAGGCCTGAGACTTCCGCCGCCAGACAGACTGCTAATCACCAACAGTCCCAAACCCCAGACTTCTGACAGGCCCACAGACAAATCCCACACCTCTTTGGCTCAGAGACTTCCACCTCCTGAGAAAGTACTATCAGCTGTGGTACAGACCCTGGTAGCTAAAGAAAAAGCACTGAGGCCTGTGGATCAGAACACTCAGTCAAAAAACAGAGCTGCTTTGGTGATGGATCTCATAGACTTAACTCCTCGCCAGAAAGAACAGGCTACTTCTCATGAGGTCACACCGCAGGCTGATGAGAAGATGCCACTGTTGGAGTCAAGCTCATGGCCTGTTGGCAAAGGTCTGGGGCATGTGCCACGAGCTCTGGAGAAAGGAAGCATGTCAGATCCCCTTTTCCAACCACCTGGGAAAACTGCAGCCCATTCTGAGCACACCTGGCAAGCTGTTAAATCACTCACCCAGGCCAGACTTCTTTCTCAGCCTCCTGCCAAGGCTTTTTTATATGAGTCAGCTACTCAGGCTTCAGGAAGAGCTCCTGCAGGAGTTGAGCAGACCCCAGGGCCCCCGAGCCAACCTCCAGGCATGGTGAAGCAGGTGAAGCAGATGGCTGGAGGCCAGCATCTACCTGGACTTACTGCCAAAAGTGGCCAGTCCTTTAGGTCTCTTGGCAAGGCTCCAACCTCCCTCCCCACTGAAGAGAAGAAGTTGCCAACCACAGAGCCGAGTCATTGGTCCCTGGGAAAAGCTTCGCCAGGGACAGGACTCTGGCCCATAGTGGCTGGACAGGCACTGGCACAGTCTTGCTGGTCTGCTGGGAGTACACAGACATTGGCACAGACTTGCTGGTCTATTGGAAGAGGGCAAGATCCCAAACGAGAGCAAAATACACTTCCAACTCTTAACCAGGCTCCTTCCAGTCACAAGTGTGCAGAGTCAGAACAGAAATAATACCTGTAAATGTCACACGTCCAGACAAGCTGTACCCAGAGTACCATATGGGGAGGGGAATCTATGTTTCTTTCTTTTCCCCCTTTGAAAAATAGACCTACCCCCAACACTCTTCCACTGTTACTCTTTCCTTGTATTCCAGTACTCAGAATTCTTGTGACATTAGCCAGTGGGGGTTTCTGGTTGTGTGAACCATGTATGGGAATTCAACCAGCCCCAGCCATGCAGACAGACAGACTTGCATCTCTTTCCCCCAATTTTTACACACAGTCAACTTAAAATAAAAAGTCCACTCTGGAGTCAAGCATGGAATTCAATTCCGCTGGTCAAGCTGGAAAGTATAGGGGCTCTTAAAGCTATTTCCCCAGCCTAGCAGAGCCTCACTGAGGGCACTCTATGAACTCTTGGGAGGAACCAGTGTTCATTCAGAATCAGTAGCAATTTTCTGAGCATTCATGTGTGCTAGGCTTAGGTTGGTCACTGACAAAAACACAAGTACATAAAGCCTGATTCCTGTGAGCCTAACTTGCTGCCTAGGTTCCCAAGGTTCCCAAGACTGCTTTTAGGAACTTTTGACCTGGAAACTACAGGAAATATTGAGGGGCCTTGGATTTCCAGGGTTATTTTGAAATGTTCTGTGTGGCACCAGATGTGGCTGTGTTGAACAAGTGTCTCCTGCTTGTGGTGTGAGTGCGTATATATGTACACTGCATCTTCAAAACTCTGCTTTTGTAGATGGAATGGTGCTGCATCAAGGCCAAGGAAGGGTTTTGGCTGAGGCAGGTGCTACTTTCATCTGCATTATGCCCAGTCTGCAGATTTGTCCTTGGAGAAGCAGCTGGTTTAGGAGGAGCTGGGCTCTATGAGAATGTCGCTAGCTTTCTAGCAGTGAAGAGAATTGGCAAGCTTACTTTTTCTTTTCTATCAGTTTTCACATGAACCCATTCCCCCACGCCCGTTTTCTCAAAACACTCAGGTGCTTTCAGATTTCAGTCTCAGGCAATGGACATAGGGAATCTCTGGCCAGCTGTGAGCCAGACACACTAACTTCCAGAACAGTGCTGGGCCCTAATGGAAAATTATTTCTGCCCTAGTCCTTTGTCTTTTTAATTGAACTAAGGGAGTCCTCTTCACCACCTCCCTGAGATTTGCTGTGCTTTTTATGGAGAGCACTTGCCTGCTGACGTAGCTTAAAAGCCAGAACCTTTCCCTAAGACTGGAAGGAGAAAATGTTTGGAGCAGTGTCCAGTCTAAGAGATGATTCCTCATTAACTGCTGATTATCTGTTACTGCTGCCCTGAGCTGGGGGACCCAAGGGCTGGGAAATCTATTGGTGCTACCCTGCCCTACCATTCACCCAGCTCGACCTGCCAACAGGTAATACTGTTTGGCTAGTTCCTTCCCACTCACCCACCCCTCCTTTGTCCCTAAACCAACCAATCTCTCTGCTTTGCCAACTTAGCCAGAAGCTTTAGCCAACAGGCCACCTCTTGGCCCTAGTGTCTCCTGGCCATTGTGTCAGTTACTGCTTTTACATTCTCAACAGGATTCTGTATCTTGTCCCAATTTTCTCCTAAGTTCCTACTAAGATTACATCACTTCCAAGGGGAAGGAACAGTAGTTGTTATAGAAGCATTTGCGCTTTATATAAAGATTGAAAATAGAAAAGGCTTTTTATTTCCCAAAGTCTATCTGTGGGGTTGAGATACTTGAACTCAGGCAGAGGGTTCAGGCTGGGCAGGGCTGTCCTGAGTTTAGAGCCTATCCCTGCATTTCACTGAGACCTCAGAAAACCTGCCTAGTTCTTCCATTTCACCCTTTTTATCCTCTCTTCCACATCATCAGAGAAGGAAAAGCTATTTGTTCAAAAGGAAGAGAAAAATATAAAGCATCTTATTTTCTTTTAAAAGAATTTTAAACCATGAAAAAGATATTTTTAAAGAAATTACCCAGAACATTAAAGTTCACTATATTAAGTATTTATCATGTGTGGAATAATAAGTATATAATTGCAGCTAGTAGCCCCCTTCCCTAACCTCTTAGGTTGTGAGTAGGTTGCTTGGTGCCAGTCCTATGTGCCGTTTGCTCTCCTGTCATCTGTAGTTGTGATCAAAAAAATATCTGCACTGCACTATCAGAATCTCCTTTCACTATGTTGTGTGTTCAATTATCTTATTAGCTTTGTTTCATGAAATAAACTGTGAATTTTTTTGGGGGGTGGGCATGCAGGCTTTGTAAAGTTTTAATTCTGAACTAGCTTCTCTGTAGTAGGCTGTGGTAGGTGATTGACTTTGACAGCCATCTTAGAAATGTCTCACAGGTCAGGAGGGAAGTGAGGGATAGGGGGCTTTGATTGGCCACTTTGTGGTTTTGATTTGGCTCTTTCCATTCTTTACCATTTACTGGAGGCTTTGTTCCAGACCTGCCTAGGAAAACTTCGGAGCTGTGTACTTGGTTTTGGGTGACAGTTCTTTGAATGCAATGACAACCAGGCTTCTCTCCAGAACCACTGACTCAGGGTGTTGAATGGAAATTAGAAAGTCAAGCCATTGGGCGCACTGTGGTAGCATGAATGCAGTTACTATCCAGTTAGAAGCAGTCAGCACAACTGCTGGGAAATGACTCACATATGAAGGTGGGAAGAGGGTGACCCATCAGCCTTTTTGGACTTCTGAAGCCTGCAATGAGACCTTTTCTTCAAGGGGGTGTGGACTGGCAGTAAATCTTTTTATTTTAGAAACTTCTGATAATTGTGCAGGATGGTATTTTATTGTTTGGTATTTGGCTCAATACTTGGAAGATAAGTTCTCAAGAGAGTCTGTTTATGAGCCAGTTTCCCAGGAAGCCTTTTTGAGGAGCAAGCCAAAGATGGAAATGCTCCTTATGAAGCTAGAAAATTAATACCCGAGTCCTGATAAATCAGGAAAAAAAATTATGGAAACTGCTGAAATTTGTATTCAAAGTCTCATGTTTCTCCTGCAGGAACTAACTCATTCTAATATAAAACCTGTCATTGCCACAAAAGCATCCATGATTTTAGATGCTTGCTTTTCTCTAAAGTTACTGAGTTTGAGATTACTTAAATCACTGTTGATCGTCTTCTGAGCCAAATTTACCTCTTTGGCATTCATGAATTATTCTTCAAATCCTCCACTCCACACTGTAGTCAAGGTATCGAGTGTACACGCAGTCCTTCCTGATTTGCCATCATGTGCTCATGAAGCTGGAGTCCCAAATTGTATTAATGTTGCCTTGTGAGAACTAGCGAGCAGGAAGGAGCACTGATCTTCGTGAAAAACAATTGAGAGCATTAAATTTGGTATGTTTTACTAGTAGCTCCTATAGGGCAGGTTTTCTCCTAAGGCTTGGGACATTGTCAACCTCTTAGGGTTTGTCACCAGGTCAGAGGGGCCCAGTGGCCTAACCTCCAAGACCATGGCAGGAAAGGCATTGCTTCAGTCCTTTTTCCTGCTGAGTAAAATTTGACTTCTCATGTGTTAAGACATTCCACATCATTTAGAGCTAGGTAGCTGCTGTGGGAGCTCCCCTTGCCTGTGGCCATTTAGCTTTCAGCTGAACATCCTAGGCCAGTACAGCAGGGCCAGAGATTGCTATAGTGTAAGTTGAAATAATGAATAGATAACTGCTTTGTGTATACACGCACACATACACACACACACACACACACACAATGATGGTGCTAATTTCATTATATAGATAAGCACTGCCAAGGGTTGAGGGACTGGTGACTTTACTTGGGTTCCTATTTGCCGGGTAAGAGATTTCACACAAGGTTTCTTTGAGGCCCTATGAGAAGTAGGGAGAAGGCAACACCTCTGTGAAGCCTGTACTCAACCCTGGAGTGGTCCCATGCAAACCAGAGGTGGAAGAGATCCTGTGACTAGTTGAAGGTGGTCATTGAGTTTTTCAGGGCTGGGGTCACTTCACCAGAAACAGGCTGGTAGAGAGCTCTGGGTCTCCCTCCATTACCTTCTGCCCCTCTACCTCGTCTCTCATGGAAGCATCTCTGTTGCTTATGAAGATTAAGGGTAATACTTTTTAAGGAAATGGAAAGAGTTTACTTAGAAATCTACAGACTCAGAAGAAATCTCTTGCCAACATAAGCAGAACAGCACATACTAAATTCTTCTGTGGTCCTTTCCCTAGAGTTGCCTTCTCATGACTCTTTAAGAATCAGGCTATGAGGGGCCCTGGAACAGCACCTGGGGGTTCAGTAAAGCTCTGTAGACAGAAGCAAACACAGGGAGCAGAGCAGAAACGAACAGTCCCGGTACATTAGGCTCCAGGCTAGGTGGAGCAGGTAGTCTCCCAGCTTGAGGTGGTGCTGCTTATGTGTGTATGTAGGTGTGTGGAAGATGACGAGTGCAGCACGCAGGAGCTTGTGGAAGAGCAGCTTTCTAGGTCTTGGCAAAGAAACAAGCTGACATGAGAGGTCTGTTTTTATATTTTTAAGAAAGGGGAGGGGCAGGGGATCCAGCCAAGGCCCATCACTGTTGCCTCCCCCGACCCTGCCCTGTCCCTTCAGACTGTCAGCTGGAAGTGAAACTCCTAGTGAAAAGAGGGGAACCCTGTGCTAGGAGTCCCCATAAACATGTACTGTAATTCTTTGTATATATAAAAAAAATACTGTAAAGTAAAGTTTAACTTTACTCTTATGGCCCTTGCCCTGTGTTTTTTTTATATTGCCCATGGGAAGGTGTAGACAGATTGGTTTGGAGTGAGAATCATAGAACCCCAGGGATAGTTCCCTGTGGGGGACATGGCAGAGCTAAGGCCTTCTTCCATGAACTTTGTGGGAGTGGCATTGGTTTCCTTCCATTTGCCACAGCTGCCTAAGCATCTTACTCTCCTGTTTGGAGTGGCTGGTGTTAGTTTCAGTCTCCTCCAAAGGAAGATTCTATCTCTCAAGAAGGGAAAGTATTTTGAGGAATTGGTTTAAAAAAGAGAAGTGGAACCAAAGCACTTTGTGTGTTAAGTCTGACATTGTTTGGTTCAGAGGCAGGAACGCTTGGGGCAAAGGACAGGCTGGAAGGTGAGGCCCATAGACCATAAAGGGCTGCAACATACTTCCTTCTGGTTAAACAGGAAGCACTATCCGTTTACAGTAACATCCAAACCTTCCAAAATACATGGACTTTCAAGGCCTAATATTTTGGGAGAACCTTGGGAGTGCATCCTCCTGCCCTTAACACTACTCTTTCAGCATACAGCCTTCAGGGAAAGAGAATTATGTAAAGGCATTTAGTACTGGAGTTACTCGAGTGGGTTTTTTTGTTTTTTCAGTGTTGGAGATGGAAATGCTAAGCAAGTGCTCTGCTACTGAGTAAACTCCCACTGAGCCACTCTCGTCCTCAAGGTGGGGTCTGAGTTAACCAGTCGAATCTTGGACTCAGATTCTTGCCTCAGCCTCCCTGGAAGGACACACATGTGCCATCATGCTTGGCTCACTTAGGATCTTGACGATCCTGAGTGAGGTGTAAGTCACCTCATCTTTAAGATAAACTGAAATGTTTAAGTGACTTTTCTGTATTAGTAGCTGAATTGGATCTGAATGTAGATCAATAAAACCTTTCCATTTTGCCATTTTCCCTACCATTAAATCACATTGCAGATGTCACTGGGAGGCTCAGATCTGATCATGGGCCTGACCCATGACCCCATGACAGACACAGTAGAGGTAGCCAGACCAACTATCTTAAACCAGAAATGCCTGGTCCTTTTTTATTTCCGAGCACAATTTAAGTACTCTGTTGCTTTTCTCTGTACCCTGAAGGAATTGTACGCTTTACATAGTTCTATCCCCACTCTTCTTACTTTCTGCTGTCACAAAAGAAAACAGCTGGGAGGTGTAGCTCAGTGATAAGAGCACTTGCCTAGCATGTACAAGGCTCTGCCTTCCATCCCCAGCACCATAAAATAAAGCCCATTGTTTCTCCAATATCTCAGTGGTTATCGTGGAAAAAAAGTTAATTTGGTTTCCAAAGGAAAGTAAGGAATGGGAAGATTCTTAAATAGGAAAAGGCCAGCCACAAAGGCCCAGAACTTGGTGTCTTGGCACCCAGTCCACACAGCAGGGAAAGGGCTGAGTGTAATTCATAGTACATTGATTTTATTTACAGATCAGAAGCCACTTAAAGAACCTGTAGACAAAGTGCTGTCCAGAACAGAAGCCTGAGATTGAGATCAGCCCTTAGCCCTCCTAATGCCCACAGTCAACCTAATGCTGCCTCCATTTCATGGGCCAGCACAGGCCGTGGCACCTCTGGGGACCTGGGGTAGCTCAGACGTTTGACCACCCAATCCCAGATAAGAGCTGGATCCAACCCTTCTGGGGAATTCCTTTTAACTCCCCAAGGTCAGGTGAGTGGTGCCTCAGTGATGACAACAGCTGTAGAAGTAGGGGTTTGCCTTCTGGCCCAGGTCCACGCCCTTGTCCTCTGTCAAAGAGAGAGGTGGCAGCTCAGCACCACTGTGTTGGGGGACCAGATAACTCGATGAAAAAGGGCTAGAGGCCACGAGCTTACAAAAGTATGTAAAGGATGGGGAAGTACACACCTGTCATCACCTGGAAGGCAGCCACACTGACGTAATCATCTGCCACTTTCTGGAAGAGCTCGTCTGGCAGGAAAAGGACGATCAGTGAGGGCCTGATGCCAGCAGCCCTGGGATCCCCCAGTGACCCAGCCCTCTGGGCTCTCCTGCCTTCCTCTGGTTCCTCTGCCTGTTTCTACTGTGAGGCCTCAGGACAACACTCACCCACACTCTGGCCTGTCTTGCTAGATGTTTCAAAGAGCCGAGCTTTGATATCTGCAAAGAAAAATGACTAAGGCTTCATAATTGAGAATTGGGTGAACAAAGGGGAAGGATAGTAGTTCAAGGAATGCCCTGGACCCCACAGGTTCAATAATACCAGAAAACTAGCACATCTTGCCATGGGAACCTCTGTTTCCTAAAACCCACCCAGCAGTTCCACCAACCCCCACCCCTTGCCCTGGGTTGAGTAGCTACTGTCTGCATAGTCCTGGACATCATGAAAGTCTACACGTCGACGCCTCCGGTCTTCCTCCAACAGGTCACTCTTGGTGCCACACAGGTAGATCTGACAGCCCTGGGGCAAAGGACACGGTCAGGATCACCTTTACAAAACCACAGAGCACCCACACGCACAAAACCAAGCAAGGTCTGACAACCTACCTCCTCTAGGCTCTGCAGCTCCTTTACCCAGAACTTTGCTCTTTCAAAGCTGCTACTGTCCGTGAGGTCTTTGTATGCCATGTGGAGGATACACAATCAAGGATCAGGGGCTATTTTCTGAATTGGACTCGCACCCACCTCTTGCTTGAAGAACACATCAAAACTCCACCCAGGGCCGGGGATATAGCTCAGCGGCACAGCGCCTGCCTGGCAAGGGCAAGGTCCTGAGTTCGATTCCCAACACCAAAAAAAAAAAAAAAAAAAACCACCTTACCATAGCAGACAATGGCAGCCTTGGCACCCCTGTAGTAGATTCTGCTCATGGCCTCATAGCGCTCAGAACCTGCAGTGTCCTGAAAGGCAAGGAGAAGTTTAGCTTTTGTGTAAGTTACCGGGCTACTTCTCAAGACTGCAAATTAAGACTATGTTCTTCAGACCCCCACTTTCCAGATGAGAAGTGGCCTCTTAGGAGACCACCAGTCAGTCAGTAGTAACAGGCAAGACGTAAGCCTAATAGGTAGCAGTGGGTCTCCTCAAGAGATACTCACGGGACTTACCCAAATACCCAAAGTCACTGTCCGGTCTCCGACGGACATCACTTTAGCCACGAAGGCAGCCCCAATGGTCTGCAACGAGAGAGAAGAAATTAGGGGCACAGGTGCAGACTGGCCCTCTCCCACTTGTCCCAGAGGGGCACAACTCACATTCTGGTAGGGCCCCACCAGGAAGCGGTCGTGCACGTATCGTTCCACCAGGCTTGTCTTGCCCACGTTCTCCTTACCCAGCATTACCACCTTGACGTCCACGCGCTGCCCGCTCATGCTCCCTGGGCCGCTTTACTCGAGTCAGGGTCCGGTCGGCCCAGGCAGCGCCCAAGCCTCAGGCCCCGACCCCACGTCTCCTAAGCACCTCCGCAGCACCTCTGTATGCCGGTCTTCGGCTCCGGGCGCCGATTATCCCTCCAAGAGCCCAAGAGCTGGGGCGGCCTGGGAGTGCGCAGGCAGCACCCTCCACGGCGCCGCACGCCGCCGTGAACTCGTCGCTAGTCACTCACTCACCCTCCCGCTCGCCTGCACGCTCGCCGGGCTTAGGCTCCGCTCCGGCCTGGATTCCCAACCGAACCTGGGGTCCCGGGCGAGCCTGCTCCAATCCGCAGCGCCGCGACTCCCGCAGGTAGTGGAGAGAGGGCGAAGGGGCGGGGCACCCGGTCACGTGGCGCGAAGCGCCGGAAGCGGTAGATACTGTGCGGCCGCGCCGGAAGTGTCGCGCGGCTGTACTATCCCCTCATGGCGGCGGCAGTGACTTGGGCGCGGCGAGCCCGAGACTGAAGTGCGAGCCTGGCGGGCGTGCGCCGAGCCTGGCCCGGCCCGGCCTCCGCGTGCCCTCCGGGCTCTTCACCCCTGATGCTGCACTGGTACTGAGCTCACCCAGGCCGGGACGATGGTGAAGTATTTCCTGGGCCAGAGCGTGCTCCGAAGTTCTTGGGACCAAGTGTTCGCTGCCTTTTGGCAGCGGTACCCGAATCCCTACAGGTAAGTGACCCTGGAAAGAGCAAACTTTCTCCCCACTTAGCTATTTGAAGATCAAAGTGCAGGTCACTCCTGAGTAATGAAACCAGGAAGGACACGACATCTTGTCCGACCTTGGCGATGTCGGGAACCGTGGCCGTCTTGAGTACGAAGATCTTGTTGGGGAGTCGGTCTGGCCAGGAAGCGATGGTGATTTACTTGAGACCCCGATCTAAGGTTTTCCGGGTGGAGAGACAGGAAGAGGCAGAGGCACGCGAGTTGAGGGAGATCGAGAGGGATCTTGGGATTGGAAATCCGGGTATTTGCCTACTGCCTGCCGGTGGCGCTCTCCAGTGGAGTAACAAGTCATGAGATTTGCTCCGGCTGGAAGACTCAAGAATTTAGATCTGGGAGGAGTCAGGAGTTGGAATATACCCAGGGATAGGTTCAAAGTACTTAATTCTGAACCACTGCACGGATCACTGAAAGGGTGCAGGAAGGCATGGCCTGGAGGCTCCAAATGGAAACTGCACTAGGCAGTCCGCCAGGAGCCGGCTTCTGAGAGGCCCGTTCACTCTGACACCTGCAGCAAACATGTCTTGACGGAAGACATAGTACACCGGGAGGTGACTCCTGACCAGAAGCTCCTGTCCCGGAGACTCCTGACCAAGACCAATAGGATGCCCCGCTGGGCAGAGCGATTGTTTCCTGCCAACGTTGCTCACTCGGTGTACATCCTGGAGGACTCTATAGTGGACCCACAGAATCAAACCATGACCACCTTCACCTGGAACATCAACCACGCCCGGCTGATGGTAAGACCCTCCGGAGGCTTGATCCCCACAAAAGTAGATTGTTTTTCAGTTATACAGCTAGAGTTCCAAGAGAGCTTCTGTGGCCTGAGATGGACCTGGATTGCTGAGAAACCGTGGCTCCAGGGTGCAACCTCAAATTATCTTTGTTGCAGCTGGTCCAGCCTCTCTGGACGTTCACTCATACAGTAGGAAAGGGTTACCCATTTACAGAGTTTTTGAAGATACTAAACACAAAGTACTCATAATGTCTAGTGAAGATACAGGTTAAGAACACAAGAGTGATGCTGAGGGAGGGAGATAGTAGTTTTCAGATGGGAATCCATAAAGCCATCAGGTGCCTTGGATGTGCCCCAGGAGTGGAAGTTTTAGGCCCCTTGCCTTATTTTGTTTGGTTTTTTGTTTTGTTTTGTTTTGTTTTGTTTTTGTCTTTTTGAGACAGAGTCTCGATATGTAGTTCAGGCAGACCTTGAGCTTGCTTTGTAGCCCAGGCTGGTCTGGAACTCACAATGATCATCCTGCCTCAGCCCCCCAAGTGCTGGGATTACAGGGATGCGCCACTACACCCGGTTCCTATGGTTTTTTTGAGACAGGGTCTCGCTGTGTAGCTCAGGTTGGCCTAATGGCAATCCTCCTGCCTCAGCCTCTCGAGTGCTGGGATTACAGGCATGGTGGCACATACCTGGCTATACCTGTGGTTTAAATGTCATTAATAGAACACCTTTTCACATGTGAATACCTTTCAGGCTTTCAGGGAATTCTCTTTCAGCTTATCCTCATAACTTTGAGATGGATATTACTCAATTGTGCAGAGATGAAAATGAGATTCAGATAGGGACTGTGTTCTTCAAGGTCACAGAGGGAGTGCTACCTTCTTCTGCCAGGAGCTACACAGCGTCATCTGAGATTACTGTGTGAGGACACTACCTCTGCTTGATAAATTATCAAAATGGTGATCCATTTGTGGGAAGTATAAGCTTTCGGGAAGTAGCCATCCACTTTCTTCTCTCTGCTAAGAGCTGTGATGGTCATCAGACATCTGGCCATTTTTTCCTAGGACCATCAGAAAGCTCCAAAGCTACAGAGAATGGAAGGCATAGTAAAAATACTACATGTGGACACAGCATCCCAAAACAAAGCCTGGGGCCTGTCAGCCCTCTGCTCATCTCAAGAGGCCCTGTCCTTCTGATTTTAAAGGTCAGAAGAAAGGCTTTAGATGACAAATTACCTTTTCTTCTGCCTTCCTTTCAAATATGATAGGAGTAGGTTTTCGTTATTTCCACTTGGAGAACGAGGCCCAGGACCAGCTGGGTGCAGGGCTGCATGCCTGCTACTGTGGTGGCTGAGGTAAGGAATCTAGGGCCAGCGTGGGCAGCATAGCAGAGAGGCAGGATCAATTCTGTGTGTAAGTTGGCAGAGCAGAACACACCCCTGCATTGTGCTTGGCCTGGCTCCCTGCACAGGTGGTGGAGGAACGATGTGTTTACTGTGTGAACTCCGACAACAGTGGCTGGACCGAAATCCGCCGGGAAGCCTGGGTCTCCTCTAGCTTATTTGGCGTCTCCAGAGCTGTCCAGGTGAGCATGTTGTAGCCTAGGTGCAGCTCTAGGGCCTAGGGTTTCGGGCATTAAGGCTGGACTAGGAGTCACTGGGCAGCTCCCAATCCTTGCCCTCCTCAATCTTTTGCCAGGAATTTGGCCTTGCCCGGTTCAAAAGTAATGTGACCAAGACCATGAAGGGTTTTGAATACATTCTGGCCAAGCTGCAAGGTAAGCTCCGGTCACTGTTGGTGGAATCTCATCAGCATAGAATCTGGGCCAGTCCCTCTGTGAGCCTGGGATTCTTTGTTTGAAAGTAGCAGGGGGATGCACATGCCACCTTTCTAAAGGGGCCTAGCCCATACTAAGTGACTGCCTGGTAGGGGCAGTGATTGGGTGGGTCTTCTAGGCATCACCTGAAGCCAGCCCCCTGCCCTTTACTGCAGGCGAGGCCCCTTCCAAAACTCTTGTGGAGACAGCCAAGGAAGCCAAGGAGAAGGCAAAGGAGACAGCACTGGCAGCTACAGAGAAAGCCAAGGACCTCGCCAACAAGGCTGCCACGAAGCAGCAGCAGCAGCAGCAGCAGTTCGTGTAGCTGGTGTGGGCCCCGCCACCAGCACCACCACAGGTCACCAGCCAGCATGGCGCTGCTCCCTCTGCCATCTCCCCACTGTACTTTATTATTAAAAATCAACTTGCAGCCCTCTGTGCGGTCTGGGTGGTGGGTTGGGCAGGTAGCCTGTCACTTCTGCAGTACACCACAGTATCCTCGTCTGAGCCCATCCTGCTTATTCCCCCACTGGGCACTGACAACAGGTGCAGAGATTTGCCCAGGGTCACTGGCAGGTGCAGGGCTCTTTGTTCTGCGTGACTCAAGTACCTGGAACAATACCTAGCACATAACAGGCGCTCAATAAATATCTGTTGACTTCATTCAGCCCCTGTTCTGGAGTTGAAGCTTTGGTTTAGAGCCAGACGCCTGTCTTGGTTTGGAACCTCAGGCAAATCACATCAGTTTGCCTCAGTGCCATCAGCATCAAAGAGGAAACGCCCCAAGTTGTGAGGATTAAATGCACACTCCCTCGCACAGTTGGTTTTGGTGGTGGCTGCTGATCTTATTTCCTCTTTTCCAGTTGTGGCTGGGACTTCCTTCCTGTTCTCATCAGGCGATACCGTGGATGGGAAGTTATGAAAGAGGCTTTTAATGAAAATACTGTACAGTATATGTGGGGTGAAGGTCAGGGGCCTTGTCTGGGAGAGCACATGAGGGTCTGAAGCTCCGGCCCCTGTGGGAGCAGCGCAAGCAAGTGCTACCTTAATGCTTGGAAGGCCCAAGCTGCCTGCCCTGCGGGGCTCTGGGGTGGCCCAGGTGCTTCCCCCATCCCCACAGGAGGGGCCACCTGGTAGCCAGCAGCAAAGTCCAGGGAGTACCTGTTCCCATATGCATGTCCTTTCAGTCCATTCTGACAGATAAACGGTTCCGAGCAGCCCCCGAGGCTTGGGGAAGGATCCCGCGTGGCAGGATCGGCCCAGCGTGAGCGGAGGGCAGTCGGGGCAGTGAGCATCATAGCCAATTGCCAGGGTTGTGTGAGTAGCTGTGCTCCTGGCCTGCGCTGAAGCTCTGCAGCAGCTGTGCCTCACCCCCGAACACCAGGCTCTCCACATCTACCTCCAGCTCCTCTGCACAGGAAGGGGCCAGTCAGGAACCCCGGCCCACCCACGTGCCCCTCCATCCTGGGCTTTGGGGCACTCACCTTGGTCAGAGTCAGAGCGCTCAGAGGAGAGCCCTGAGGAGTCCAGGCTGTCCGCCCGCAGCCGCTCCCGCTCCCGCTCACATTCACGTTCCCCTGCCCCTGGCAGCCCCTGGAGCTGCTCCAGCTGCCGCTGCAGGCTCTGTTGTTTGCTGCGCAGCTTCTCTTTCAGCCACCGGGCCCGCTGCTCCTGCTCCTCCAACTTCTGCAGAACCCATTAGAGCAGGGGCTGGGGTCAGCGGGCTGGGCCTCTGGCCTCACCCCATTGCTACTTGGCACTGGGCTGCAGCCATGAGGTGCTGCTGTCTGCTGGACAAGCCACTGTTAGTCTGGGCCTTAAGCAGTGGCTTCATATCTGGAAAGCTGGCCTTGTGCCCTTCCACACCCAGAGATGATCTGTCTAAACGGGCACAGCATGGCGGGCTGTGCAATCTCAAATGCCCTCAGAGCTTAGTCAAGTGATAGAATGAAGTGGGGTACAACGGTGATGAGGACTGGGGAACGTGGCATCCTGGCAGCTGCATCCTGGGCCCACAGAAGCAGCCATCTCCAGGAACCAGTCAGGTGCTGCCACACAGCACCTGCCAGATCTCCCCATTTCCAGCTTCCAGGGAAGCTGGAAAGCCAGATGCCCTTAGTGCTGCCAACTAATCTGCACTTAGAAAACTACAGACTAAACAAAGGCTAGCAACCTGTAACTCCTCACAAAGGTCCTCCCAGGAGCCCTGAGGTTCCACCCCTTATCCTTCCCCATGCTTTGCCACACCTTGAGTTCAGGATCTCCCATGCACAGCCCTCGGTGGGCAAAAGGCTGCACTCACTTATCCAACAGAAGGGGAGAACGGGCTGAGTGGCACTTGGACAAGGTGTGAAAAGGATGAATAAGAGCTACCAAGGGGGAGCCAGAGAAACACGGAGAGTTGACCTTTTTCTATGTGTTGTGGGGGGTAGTGATAAGCCCTGGGTTGGAGGGCATTGAGTTTCAGAGTGAGAGGCTGAGGCTGTGTCCTGTCAGGGTTTTCAGGAGATGGACCTGGCCAGATCTGTGCACAGCAGAGGTCATTCTGGGGCAAAGTGGAAGATAGCTCAGTGGAAGCCAAACAGAAAGCAAGAAGGCCATGTGTATTAGTCCAGGAGAGGAGTGATTCTCAGGCCTTGCCGATGGGCCAGCCAGTGCCTGAGTGGCGGGCAAGCTCCATTTGCCAATCAGAGTATTCAGCCACACTGAGGCTGACAGTAGGCATCTACGAGACAGGGCAAATACTTCCCACAGCCGTGACTTATTTGCTGGAAGGTACACAGATCTGTCCCTGCCGCGGCCCCCAGTGCCAAAAAGGGGCCTGTCAGAGCAGGTGCTCAATAAATATTTGTTTAAGGAAAGAATGCACATCAGGAAGCCTGGGCCTGGATCCTGAATCTGTCTCTCATCAGCTGTGCCGCCTGCCCCTTAGCCCAGCTGTGCCTCCTTTCTCCCCCTGTCAAAAGGCCCGGAGAACAGGAAAATTTACTGTTTCCAGGAGAACTAATGCCTACATCGCTGGAGCTGCCTGGGCCTTTGGGTTTGCACAACCACTCCTGTCCACCAGGGGGCGTAGGCTTCTGCTAAGGCAGCTGCAACAGCCCGGGAAGGACAGCAACTGGCTTTCTTTTTTTCCTTCCTTCTACCCTCCCTCCCTCCCTTCCTTCCTCTTTCCCCACTTCGGTACTGGGGATTAAACCTAGCACCTTTGCACTAAGCTAAATAAATCCCAGCCCTTTTTTATTTCGATGCACAGTCTCGCTAAATCACTAAATTGCCCAAGCTGGGCTTGCACTTGTGGTCCTGCCTCAGCCTCCCAGAGTGCTGAAATTACACCATGTAGTGTAACTCCAGCTGACTGGGGAGAGTACATCACCATGTCCAGCCGCACCTGGCTCTTCACAGTGATTTTCCCTTCTGATATCTGTAAGTGTCTCCTAGAAGAGGATCAGGACAGAGAACCTAGAACAGGAGGCCTTCAAGGATGGGGACCAGCAAACAGAACTCCACAACTTACATAAGATTTATCACAGACCCCTTCCCACAGCGCTCCCCTCCCCACCAAACAGAAAAGGAAACAGAAGTCCAGACAGGCTAAAGTGACTTGTGTAAGGTGAAGCAGCTGAGATCTAAGAATAATAGCAGTATTAACAACAATGAACATTTATAAGGTGAATTTGCTGAAGCCTCAGAACCCTGAGTTATTTTCTGCTTTTCTTCCCATTCCAAATTTTGGTGGGGTTTTTTTTTTGTGTTTTTTTCTTCCAGTACTGGGAATCGAACTCACAACCTTGCGCTTGCCAGGCAGGCCGCTGAGCTAAATCCCCAGCCCCCCATTCCAAATTTGGAAACTGTACAAAGAACTCTCCCAAGCCACACAGTCGGTCTATATGTGGCCCTTTTCCCCAGTTCTATCCAAACCTTCCACACCACATCCCTGCACACAGCCCGGCAAGCTGCCCAGGTGCAGGGAAGGCCCTCACCTGGATGTGCGTCCTTGCTCGGCGAAGCAGGCTCAGCGTGGTGTATCGGGCACAGTCAGCCCCCAGGGGCATCTGCTGCTTCAGCTGTTCTAGGCACCGCTTCAGCTGGGCCCTCCTGGGGGGAAGGGTCTGGAGGGCAGTGCGAGTCCCAGAGTCCCAGCTCCAAGGCCAGAGGGTAGCAGAGAAGGGAGCACCCAAGGGAGGTGGCTCCTGGGACTTGGTGCTGCAGGGCTGGGGTAGAACTCACCTGCGCTTCTCCAGCTCATTGTGCACAGATCTGCCAATACCAGGGAGGATGAGGTGAGGGGCTGTCAGCTACTGGCCTCAGCCTTTGCCCCAGGAACCCCTAAGGCTGCAGATATTTGCCCCAAACAATCTGCCTGTGAGGACCTTGTGCTGGCCTCAAACACCCGAGCCCTCAGGAAAGGGCAAGAGGAATCAGACACCACAAAGAACCAAATGCTGAGTCCCGCCCAGGTGGCTGTAGGGGTCCAAATGGGGCTCCCCTGCCAACTAGGCAACAAAGGCCTCCTGGACAGAAGTCACAGCTGAGCACAGAACAGAAGTTTCCACAGTGGGTACTGGAGGGAAAGGCATTCAAACTGGAGGGAAAAGCATATGCAAAGGGCTGATGCAGAGAGAAAAGAAGGGGGAGGTGACGTATGGAATTGTAGGTGTGTGAGTGAAGTGAGACCCAGAACAGTCCTGTTCACACTTCCTGGCACATCAAAGGCCCTCAAGAAGTAGTCAGTCCATCAATGAAAAAAAAGTGCATGTTAGAGGAGTGGCCAGATGGCAGGAGGAGTCTGAATGCCTCTCAAAGCAGGGTATCTGGTCTAGCAGACGCGAAACGGAGGAAGTGAGCGCAGAAGGGGCCTATGAGGGACAACGCCCACCCTGGCCCGCCACCCCCGGCCCTCCTCACCGCCCACTGTCCAGCGCGCCAGGAGCTTGTGGGGGTCGCTTCCTCCTCCTGTGGATGGGCCCTGGACTGTGGTGCGGGCACAGCGATGCGTAGCCATGCTCCGCTTCTGCCAGAGAGAGTTCCGGCCAGTGTCAGGCTGGGGCTGGACTCGTCCTAGCAGGAGCCCCTTGCAGGACATGGTCAGGTTTTGGCGCCAGGATCATCTCCCCAAACCCTCCCCGCCCGACCGTCTGCGGATTCCTCTCGAGTTCAGGGCGGGCTCGCCCGGGAGTAACTGCCCTAGAGCAATGAATCGTTCAAGTTGGGAGCCAAGGCCAGTGTCAGCAAGGTCGCCCAGGTGTCCCGCTAGGATTCTTTCTCACCTCTCTCGCGGCGCTCCAGGAACTCGGCCGCTTGCAGCAGGACCTGGATGTTGCTGGCCATGCGTTCCATGTTCGGCGACACCTGGCAGCGGGCGGGCCTAGGGTGCGGGCTAGAGCAGTGGCTGTACCACTTTTGTTACAATGTAACTGACACAGAGCAACAAATAAGGGCTCCGGTCCCGCCCCCAGTAGCCCCTCTCGCGGGAGCGCCCCGCCTTTGGCCCCGCCCCTTCGGAACGCGCCGGGGAACCACAGCCCACCCTCCGGGTCCCGCCCGCCGGGAGCGGCCTCTGATTCTCTTGGACCAGATACTGGTGCCGGTTCAGGTCTGGTCCCTTGGCGAGTCCCCCCAAGTTAGGGGTTACTGTGTCTTCCCCGCTTCACTTAGCGACCCCAAAGGTTTCTGGGTGTCTTTGGGCCTCAGTTTCCAGCGAGTGAGGAGTGCCAGATATTTAGAACAGCGCTATAGGGCCCAAGCAGCTTCCTGGCGCTCCCGGCTTGGCCATGCACTTGAACGCCGTAGGGGCGGGGCAGGCCGGCGCCGCTCGCGCATTCGTGGGTTGCCCCCCGGGGCTTGCTGTCGTCATCTTCTGGGCGGGGACTAAGGGCCTCTGAGTCATGATTGGCTGGCTCGAGGCCCTGCCTTCTCCCGCTGCTGGTCCACAAGTTCAGGCGGGAAAAGAAGCAGGTTTCAAATTTGAAAACCCGGGTGCTGAAGGCGGGGTTGAGCGGGGAACGGGAGCGCAACGCGCAAGCGCCGGCGGAGGGGGCGCGGACCCCGCTCCTGAGCTCCAGGGTCTGCCCCTACGCCTGCCTATCATCTGCTGACCCCAGGCTCCGGCTGGGCCTCAACGCTCGACTTTCTGTTGTGTCGAGCAAGGATCCTCGCTTGCCTACCCGCTCCCTGCCCCACCGTTCATCAGCAGGAAGCCATTGTTAGCACGAAGACTTCGGTAATGTAACAGCTTAACAAGCCAGACCATACCCTGGAAGTACGCCTTCTGGCTTTTTGGGAGCTCGGAACTATGGAGTCAACAAGTGGGGCTCCTCTCTTGTCATTGCTGACTCAGCAGTGTGTAACTTGGGCGCCCAGCGACAGCGTGGTGGAGAGATCAGAGTCAGTGCCAATGTAGTGCTCTGCAACTGCTTCAGCAACTTCTAAGACCGGTGCAACCAGGAACAAACTTCTTCCTCCCAGACAGCCTTTCTGGAGCGTGACTTGCACAGAGCCTTTTCTTTTTCCATGCGCCTTTTCTTTCTTTCTTTCTTTCTTTCTTTCTTTCTTTCTTTCTTTCTTTCTTTCTTTCTTTCTTTTTTTCTTTTTGAGACAAGGTTTCTCTATGCAGCTCAGGGTAGCTTTGAACTAACTATGGAGCCCAGGGTGGCCTCGAACTCACAGCGATCCTCTTGCCTCAGCCTCCTGAGTGCTGGCCAGCACCACCATGCCGGGCCTATGACCCCATTTTGAATGTGACTTTCCTAGCCCTCCAGCGCAGTAGCTGCTGACCTTCCTAGGTGGTGCACCAGCAGGTATACCCACACCCAGCTATTAACTAGGTGGGTCAGTCCTGCCAGGCCTGGGACAGAGTAAGCTGCAAAAAGAGGGGGAAACGGGGAGGGGAGATTCTATATAAAGACAGTCCTAGATAAACATAGGCACATGTCAGGCCTTAAAGGTTTTTAAGTCTACCAGAGGAGTCACTCGCCCATTCACCTGTCTGGTCACTCAGTAAATGTTTTAGTACTTTGGCGGCTCTCACAGGAAAAGAGAGGAACATTTTGATCTAATCAAGGAGGTCAGAGGAGGTTTTGCTAGGAAAATACATGAATGTGTTACCTGTGTACAGGAGGGAAGAGAATTCCAGACAAGGAGCATGTGCAAAAGTCCCTGGGATTGAAAGGAATGTAGCAGTTTGCAGAGTGAAACAACGCCAGTGTGGCTACATAACAAAAAGCATAATGCAGACTGACACTACGGCTGTCTGGACTCGGAATGGACAGATTGGTACCTCAGGCTCCCATGCGCAATCAGTTCTGCCCGAGGAAGGCAGTTGAAAACCTTTTGAATGTATTTCTAATTTTATTTCACTAACAACAGCACCACACAATGCAGGCGCAAACCTAGTCAGACATCTGGCACCCACGTGGCCTGCCTTGGACTCAGGGCACAGTGGCAGCAAGGAGGTTCTCAGAGAAAAGCTCCCAGCAGAGGGAGGGAATAAGGTAAGGAAAGTGAAGACAGGGGCTCCAAAGGGGGCTGCGCGACCACATCGAGGAGTTGGGGCTTTACCCTCGGAGCCAAGTGCAAGATTCAAACTGGAAAACAGACCTGCACATCTGTCCAGCCTGGTCCCTGGGCTCCTACCCCAGCCTCTCCCACCTTCCTCATCCTCTCTCCTCTTCCCAAAGAGTGGCTTTCCTTAGAGAGCTTCCCAGGTCTCCATGCACAATGTTTCAGGTTCCAAAATGTCTCAGCAGGAGAGGTGTAAACACACAGCTTTACTCTCTCAGCGCTGTGGTGTAACTGAGCTAAGAGATCATGTCACCCTTGCTCTGAGCATCTTTCAAGGTGTTCTTAGATTTTCCTCATTGCATAATCTACTTATTCATTCCTTTACTCTCTGCTTCTATTATTCCTCCTTTTTGTTTGTACCCCAAATTTTCCACCTTTGAAAGGGACGTTAGTTTGGGCCACTGTGCTTGTCCAGGCCACTGGTAGTGATACCGGCCTAACTGGTGCCTCCCTCCCAGCCCGCCCCGTGCAGAGCACGGTGCCCTGGCACTCCCCATAGGTTGTCTCTCTCATGAGGCAACACAGCAGACTCATACTGGCCCCAGTTTGTTTGGGTTTATTTTGTTTTGCTTTTGTATTGAAGACTGAATACGGGGCCTTCACTCTGAGCTACATCCCCAGCCCTTTTTATTTTTTAATTTAAAACAAGGTCTCACTAAGTTGCTAAATTGCCCAGAACGGGCTTGAATTTGTGATCCTCCTGCCTCAGTCTCCCAGAGTGCTGGGATTGCACACGTGCCTCACCATGCCAGGCTTTGACCCCAATTTTGGCAGATGGAGTGAAGGTTCCACCTCCCCATCAGGCCCTGAAGAATCTGGCCATAAAGGATTAAAAGTATATACTCTCTTACTTAGGGATCATTACTACTTCTGGTACTTGCAATTGAACCTTGTCTTGCATACCCTGCACTGGGTAGGAAAAAAAAACCCGAGGTTCGATGGTGGGGGATAAAAAGTATCCTCATGCCAGCATCCTCTCCCACCCCCTCCACCTCAGATCCACCAGAGAAGCACAGGAATCCCCTAGGGAGGAGCCCTCCCCGAGCGCCCTCATGTGCAGTGGTGCACGCAGCCGTGGAAGTCGGCAACCAGCCCTTCCGCCTTTATCTGCCCCTCTTTAGTCAACAAAAATTTCCCTTGCCTGTTCCAATACTTCATCAAACCATTGCTTTGGAAACAATATCTCTTTGCCCACTGTTGGACACTATGGGCTGTAGAATGTGTACCTTGGTCTGAAGAAAAGTGACTTGGCACATTTCCAAACTGGTGCTATATCGTCCATTCTCATCTTTTTATTTATTTTTTCTTTCAGTACTGGTGATTGAACCCAGGTCCTTTGTACTGAGCTAGATCCGCAACATTACCCCAGCCCCTTTGAGACAGTATCTCCCTGCTCCCTGAGTTGCCCAGGCTGGGCTCATCCTGCATCAGCCTCCCAGAGTGCTCGGACGACAGGTGTGTGCCACCATGCCTGGCCCTTTCTCATCCTTTTACTGTGTTCTGAGTTCTTCAGGGTAAACTAAGCATCGTTCAGTCCAGAGTGACAGTTTTCTCCTGCTAAGCCCTCTGCACAGCCTCCAAGGGTGACAGGCATCAGTCTGAGTTGCTGGGTACATGCAGGGGCTTCCCCCAGGACTCTGCCCCACAGCCTGTCTCTCGTGGGCAGGCAGAATGCTCTCATTGGCACTCAGTACCTCAGAGGATGTGAGAGGAACACGCTCGACTCAGCCATCTCTGTACGGCTGCAGCCCCACTCTGAAGCCTTGCATCTAACGGGGCCAGGCGGCCACATCCAGGGGAACCTTGTGTGAGGGTACTGGGACATCCGCTCCTGGCTCGAGGCACCATCTGATCCCGGAATGTGGATCTTCTCATGGTTTTCCGCATGACCTCCTTTAGAATACCCACAAGGTCCCATGGTGATTCCCACAGGGCTGTGCCCCACTCAGGCATCCAGTCAACAGGCCACCTGTCCACTGCCCTCGCCTGGCCATATGGGCAGCCACTGGCCGCTGCTGTTGAGTCACTGGAAACCCAAATGTAGAGGCAAGTGGCCTGTGATTCCAAGCTGCCGGGCTTTTACTTTCTTCAGTCAGCAGTCCGAACAGGAAGCTCTCCTATCACCTCAGTACCGCCATTCATAAACCAAGTGTTTTGTTGGTCCAGAAGAGCTGTGTATAGGGCTCTTCCCAAAGGGCCCAACAGGTCACACACAGGACTCAGAAGCTCCACAGGTGATTCCAAAGTCAGCTGTAGAGGAACAAAGGTCCCCAGCTTAGGACACCTCAGTACCCCGACCCCGGAGCCCACTCTTGTGCAGACCGTTTCATGTTATCATGGACTAATTGGTCAGTGCCTTTCCTCAGCTGAGCATTTCTCCAACATCATCCTAGACCCCGAGCATTTCAGATGTCAGGGTTGTGCTATGTCTTTAAGTCAGCAGCGATCTCAGAATTACTTTCTCTCTCCAATGACAATGTTCTGGTCCCAAATCCCAGCAGTTGCCACAAGGTGGCACCCACAGGCTTTGCCATAAACTCCAATCCGAGCTCCGGCGAGGACCCTGGAGGACTGCTGTGCAGCGAAAGAGCCGCCGGCCCCCTTGGCTTAGCAGAACTCACTCCCATCCAGCGACTCCTGTCAATGTTGGCAGATGGGCAGATTTGGTCGCCGCTCTTTTACCATGTAGGTAGCGGAGGTTTCCCCAGGATGGCCCAATATAGATCCCCAGGTACATACATGGTTTTATTTTTGTTTTTTAAAAAAGCGTCTCCCTCAGTTGCCTGGGCTGGTCTTGAACTTGAAATCTCATGCCTCAGTCTCCCAGGGTACTGAAATTACAAGAAAGTACCACCATGCCCAGGTCTTCATCCATTTTTTAATAACCACTGAATGCTGCCCACACTGCTGGGATGAGTCCTCCACTATCTCCTTTGTTTGTGCCCATTGTCCTGTGAGTCATTTCATCTACACTGTGATGCAGAATCATTTGCCCCCCTCCCCCACAGTGGCTCTGTGCCTAGTAGCTCTAGCTTGGCCCAATTCTGTGCAGTCACAGGATCTGTCATAACACACGCGTTTGCTTCCATTTTAGCTTTAACAGATCACAAAAGGATGATGGTGTATTTAGCTTCTCTCTGGTAACTTGGTATTTCCTTATGCATCCAGTGAACTTACTATTTGGGTGTTAGATCCACCATTTCAAAAATCCACTGTTAACTTTTGTTCCAGGAACTGATTACAGTACCGTGCAGCCGCAAACCTTGGTAAACCCACGATCCTCCAGGAATCAAAGGTTCATCGCATCCCACCCTGACACCCGGTTCTTAGAGAAAGTAAATGGCTTGCCGGTGGGCCCGCCTCTCACCTTCAAACCAGCCAGTCCTGAGCCCACGCCCTTAACCTCTTCCCTCCTGCGGCTCTCCTGCTCTGGACCACGATTGCTCTGCCTTAGTCACTCCAGGGCCAGAGACCAGAGAACTAGGGGCGCTCCTACACCAGTGCCCACGGGAACTATTCAGATGAGGCAACCCTAACCTGCTTACCCTGCCCCACCAGTTCCTTCCTGAGGAAACCACAGTAAGGGCTCTGGCCACAGTTCCCCTCTCCTCCTGGCCCAGCCAGTACTGAATAGCCAGTAACTGCTGAGCAGTTATGGACCCAAAAGGCAAAACAGCGCCTCTGGTTATTAGAGCGCCTGCTCCTTGGTGCCCTGCACTGTGCTGCTACAGTGCAGCTCCATGCTGGGAGTCCGCCCAGGCTGCTGCGCAGGCCAGACTGTTAGGTGTCTGGGACTGAGCACCTGGCACGCGTGGCATCCTGCACCTGGATCACCTCTGGGCCGGGACCCGGAAAGGTACGGGTAATTGGCTGCACCTGTTTCTCAAAAAGACCCTCTGAAGAGGACACAGACTG